GTTTCCTTTGTCCAAGTTCGGAGAGCCCGGCCACGCATATAAACCATACGTCTCCGATTCCGGAGTCCCCGGCAGGAATTGGTTAAATTTTAAACCTAAATCTATAGCTTTATTTGGAACATTAAAAATTAGGACGAAAACAGAAGTGAAATGTTTGTAAAGTGCAGTAAAATTGACAGTCGAGTTTTACTTGTTCCTATCAAGAGTCCAAATCTGTGGGTGATGTGCATTTATAAAACAGGGCAAGGCATTTAGGCTGTTTCCATATCTCAGTCAGCTCATCTTTTTCTGGACTTTGAGCTTCAATTTTATTAATCAAGCTCAGTGCAGCCCCAATTTGATTCATCCAACACGAAGCCAAGATTTGGTTCTCACGGATGTTTGAAACTGATCAGGAGCTTTAGCTGAAGCCATTGACGAAGCGGAAGCTGAGATTAAAGTAAAAATTCCCTTGGACTCTGGAAAATAAGCACTCCACCAGCCTCACCAGCCCTTGCACTCTATGGCTGTACTGTCAAGCATGGCAGATTGTTTGAAAATTATAAACAGTTGCTTTGGCCACATAATGTTCAACTACCCGATTAAAAACATTCTCAAAATGTTTCTGATTATGTCTGCTAATAATTTGCTGGGACCACTGATGCCACCTGTTTGTGTTCATGGGTCCTTTATAACTAGTATTTATGGAAATACTCACTGTGTCCTGACAACTTGTAGCATGAGTGCCACCATTTTATCACATGTACTTTGACACTTGTAACTTATGGAATATGACGTCTCCAGTAGAGTATGTGTTAAACGCATGGGTACACATAAACAAATGCCAAATTTCATTCCATGCACCTGTGCCTTGCACGCTCACAGGGATTGTTCTGCGAGAGCTGTGCCCCGGGCTACAAACGAGCCTCCCTGGACTTGGGCCCCTTCTCCGACTGTGTGCCCTGTGAATGCAATGGCCACAGCGACCTCCCCTGTGACCCAGACTCCGGGGTGTGCCAGGGCTGCCGGGACAACACGGGCGGGGAATTCTGTCAGCTGTGCTTGGATGGTTACTTTGGCAATGCCACTAATGGCACTCCAGGTACTTTCTTTTATTCAGGAATGCAGCTTTTCTTAGTTCAGCTGATTTCCTCGCTTTTCACTTCACACTCATGCCATTGAAAATTTAAAAACATTGTACAAAGTCTTGCAAAGATTGGAATTTCCTCTTTTTTGTCAAAGTCCAAGTTGCATGCCTGTTTATTTGTCTTTTTCTGCACCGTATGTCAGTTGGTAACTCTTGATTAAGATGTTGTGAACTCATTGCAAGATATCACAAGTAAATAACCAATCAGTAAAGCCCAATTGTTTAGAATATTTGAATATTTGACTATTCTTTTGACTATGACTATTCGATTGTACCAAATTCCAAAATATACCAAAATACACAAAATTGAAATGAAAATAATGTATTGGCGTACTGTTGGGCATGTGTACTCGGCTCCTTTAAACTTTACTTATAAAGCCATTAATTATGGAATGCAACTTTGTAATCAAATAGATTGTTTATTTCATGGACTTTCTCTCTTTGAATATTTGATTTTGAAAATGAATTTTCAACAAGTGATCAAAGATCCAAATATTCAAATAATCAGCATCTAGGCACCCATCATCCAGGAGTCATTGATCAATTCTCAAGACAGGTCATTATTGAACAGTGATGCCAGTGATCAGATGTGTCTATTTTAGAAAATCCACTGGTTCTTTTCGTAACTTCACAAACTCACAAAAGAAATATTTTGCGGGGCATTTTTGTGTTTCACAATTTTTCAGCAAAGTTTGGCTCACACCTTGTCAGTTCAACTTATCCTGGCAACAGCCGTGCACAGCACCCTGTTTTTGGCACTGTGCATCAAGGCTTTATGGAGTCTTTGCCTTGACTCCTTAATTATATTCCCTTCCTCCTCTTGCTTTCCCTCATAGGAGACTGCCAGCCCTGTAGGTGCCCCGGACCCACCGGCAGTGTAAACTCCTTCGCCCCAGTCTGTGACGACAACGGTGTCTGCATCAGCTGTGCAGAGGGACACGGTGGGGACTATTGCCAGATGTGTGTAACTGGATATTACGGCATGCCGACCGACTCTTTGGTGAGTGTCTGCAACTTGCAAAAATACTCATTTTCATTTTGTTTTTTGTAACCTCTGTGTTATGTTTACAGAGACCACTTGCTTTAGGATCAAAGAATGTAAAACATGGCTAGTCAAAATAAATCCTCTTTTTTCCGTGATTTAAGTTGTTATTAATTTTCTTGCTATTGTTAAATAGTAGCACACTTGTTTTTAACAATTTTCTCCTCTCTCTGGGGTCTTATCAATGTGATAATTATGAATTTTTCGAGTTTAGAAATATGAAACAGATAGAACAAAGTACGGGAGAAAAATGAAATCAAGAGGAAGCAGCAAGACCTAAAATGCTAAAGCTTGTGGTAGTTACTAATCTTAACAAAAACACATGTGGCAATTGTCCGGGAAATTTCCTGATTTACTATAGAATACTTACCCTTTAGGACATGATGTTTATAAGAATAGACATAAATAAAAATTTGCAAACTCACTTGAAGGACCCTGTTTGGAATTTCAAAAAGCAAGGTCACCCAAGACCAAAAAACCTGTGTGAGTTAGCACATGGCCATGCTTGATAGGAGATCTTGTGCATTTACAGATTTGTTCCCGAATAACCTTAGATGTACTTCGTCATGGGCTTGCCAGACTTGAACCCAAGGTCTCTCTTGGTAGTCTGAATTTAATTTGACTACCAGAGTCTCAAGCTTGCAAATTTTTTTTGGCAGGGACTCCTGGAAAACACTGAGCGACATTTTTCTTATAAACTTTGAGATGGAAACTTCTGTCATCAAAAGTCATACGTTTAAAACTTGTGGGTTACATTATTGGAGGAGGGTTAGAAAACGTAATAAATAATTCTGTGAAGATATTATCTCTGGTGATGATGCACATTATTTCATGAAATATTTTTAATATTGACATATTTTCCTGATGGTATCAGATTACGATATGATCTTGGTGAATAAAATGATGTTGACCTCATTATTTTTCTGTTGTAACAGACCAACAGCGGTCGGTGTGTACCGTGCTCCTGCAACCTCAGCCCTGGCCAGTGCAACACTGTCACCGGCGAGTGCCTCAACTGCACGGGTAACACCACCGGCCACACCTGCGATGTCTGTGACTTTGGCTTCTGGGGGACCATCGACAACTGCCAAGGTACTGAACTTGCATTTCTTGCTAGTCCCTTCAAGGCCAAGTGCCTGTCAACGCAGAACGGCGAGAGCTTTGGTTGCAATCATTGGTTTGTTTTATCTGCCAAACTTTTGGATAATCCCCTAGGACATCCAGCCAACAAGCTCCCTGATTTTGTCAGTCTCCATTTTCCGATACCATTGGCACATTATTTGTATGTTGGACATCATATCTCCTATCTGCTCCAAGCAGGAATGAAAGAGGGCATGTTTTTGCATAGCAAAGATGTTTCTTTGATGGGAACTCACTGCGTGCACATGCAGATTCAAGCACATTTTGGCGAAGGATGTGTTGAGCACGTCTGACTGATTTCTATTTGAATGTATTGTCTTCGTGTTTGCATTGTATCCAAATGAACTGTGTTCACCTCTTCAGTTCGGACCTGATCTGTGAATTAAGTTATGTGTCAACTTGCAGAGTAACTTGTGATTGACATGTGACTGACTCAATTGCAACTCCGATTTATAGTCTGCACACATTCAGTTGCTCTACACGGGCCTTATCAACTGATTTCTTTGTTTCCATTTACCATGTGTGTAAATAGTAAAACAAACTATAAAAAGGCTTGTGCAGCCAAGAATCGTTCATACTCATGACTTCTCTGTTTTGTCTTTGCATAAATATGGCAAAATTAAGGTTGACATGTTTGTTCCTGTCTTCTGTTGTGCACCCATATTCTACGCATTATGTCTGTCCAGCTTGTGACTGCGATCCGCTCGGCGGCTTTGGCAACTGCAGCCAAGACATCGGCATGTGTTCCTGCTACCCCAATGTGGTCGGGGACCGGTGCACGCAGTGCGCTGCCAACACGTGGGGCTTTGCCAGCGGCGCTGGCTGTACATCATGCGACTGCCATCCGGTGGCGACAGCGAATCAGCAGACGCAGTGCAATCTGGTATGGACTCTCACACAACAATCCTCTGCTTGTTCATTTGCAGCAGTCTGTTGTGGGACATTTTGGGCTTTTGATCTGGGAGCGCCTGTACGTAGGCCAGTATTACAAGGGACATGTCGCCCTCCCCCCATAAACATCTGTATCCCCCTCCCAATGTGTACCCTTGTTGGAAATTTTATATGCACACAACCAGTGTACAACCCACAGTTTATTTGCTTTCAGTGCTCCCTTGGGTAAAGGTGAACACCCCCACTGCCCCTCCCCCCCAAAAATTTCACCCTAGTTACCCTGCTGCTCTGTATAGGCCTAATCTTTGTGCCATTTCTTGAGTACCAACCATCATAATTATAAAGTTGTAAATCACAGAACATTATGTATTTAATATTTAGCTTTTCCGGTACTTAGGTACTAGAATTTATTGCAACATGCCTCTTTTAAACATGGACGGGATATAAAGATTAAGGATAGTAGATTCCTTGGCAAAATTATTGACTGTACGGTTCTTTCTTAGAAGACATTTCTTTTTCTCTGAAAAACCTAAAGCACCACTTCATCTGTTGGAATTGTAAAATGTGTTTACTATTAAATGCCTAAATGGGAATGGGCTGATGATGAAATGTACATTTTTGTCATTTCAGTTGTTGTGCTTTCTGAAGAAGTGTTTGTGTTTTTGATCAACAATTTTGCACCAGTTGACAGGTCAGTGTGAGTGCAAGCCTCGGGTCACCGGTCAGAAGTGTGACCAGTGCCAGCAGGGATACTGGAACCTAGACCAAGAATGCATACGTGAGTAGTGGACTTAATTTAGTCAGCAGCACTGTATCATACTCAGCGGTAGCAAACTTTAATTGACAATAGCGAAAGGGGTCAACTCCAAGATATATTTTCAAGCAAATCAGTTATTTTCATCCTCTTTCCTTTTTTCTGTATTATTTCTTTTTTTGTGTGTGTGTAAATGATTTTTTTCATTTCAAAACTTTCTTTTTTAGAGTGGGAGGGATCACGTTCCCTACCCCTTATCCCCTTTCTTTGAGACACCCATGCCATGTACATGTATGTCCTGGTAGACTTGTTTGTAAGTCCTGCCGTCACGGTAGGCAGAACTTGCGTTCACAGTGTACGTGCAATTTTTGTACCACCTCATCTTCATCATCTCATGTTTATCCCCTCGGGGAACCCCGACGTTGCACATGCCTCTATGCATTGACCCCCTCTGTCTTCACAGCTTGCCAGTGTAATCTCGAGGGCACTGCCCTGGACACCTGCACAGACAGCGGCAACTGCACCTGCGACCTCTTGACCGGTCAGTGCAGCTGCAAAATGGAGACCATTGCTGGACGGACGTGCAACAGGTGCGGGCGCATCGAAGAAGGTAAAGATTGTTCAAGCTTCCGTCTGTTTTGCTTTTGACAGAGCAATTATCCTCCTCTTCACAGAAATGCAGTTTGTTTTCTGAGACAGTTTGTTCTCATAGTACTTATATTTTCTTTTGCTTTAGTTCTTCATCGTATTTTTTTTTCACTAACTTCTTGTTCCAAATGTAACTTAATTTTATGTTGTGTTTTGTGCATTAACTCATAACGCTCTACATGCTGTAGTATTCAAACAGCCTAAGGTCCACAGTGTAGATTTCAGGCTGAAATGGGCTGAGACATTGTACACAAATTTCCTAGCTGCTAGTTTGATAAAGCCCTGCAGTGTTTATAAATTGTCACACTCCGCAGACAGAGAACATTGTGTCTACAGGATCCATGCCAAAGCCTTTTCAAATCAGATGCATTCATGTTGACAATGGCTAGGAAAACACATCTTTCTTAGCTTTTAAACTTGTAGCATTCGTTCGATTCCTCTTCATTTTAAGTTAGTCTGAGGAAGACATTGTTGGTATTGTCCTTGTTTATCATGTCAATCTGCTACTGCTGAACCAGGAAACAAAAAAGAGTTTGTAGATTTCACTATTGTTGGACAGGATAGAAGAAGCTTTCTAGTGGTATGTAACTCCTGCTAGTGTAGGATATCTTGCAAACTTAACATATTTAATTCACTCCGAATAGAGAGTGGAGCATAATTGCTCCTGATCATCAACTTTTTTCAGGAATAAACTAAACTTTCCAAGCAATGGATTTCCATTACAATATGGATTTTTGTGGGAGTGGGTTCTATTTAGTACGTTAATGTTATTTGTTGAATAATGTCATAATCCGATTAAAATTGTCCTGTGATAACCAGTTTGCATCGTCTGTTGCCCATTTAGGTGTTTTCTTGAAGATGTGTCTAACACAAGCACATTACTTTTTTGTCCTGTTTCGCCACCAACCGTATTCCTCTGTGTCCCTCTCTGTCTGATTTGCTGTCCGTACTGTCTGTTCCATCTCTTCTGTCCTTCCCTAGACGGGTCCGAAATAGTCACTGAAGTTTTTGTTGGTAAGTTCAGTGAGTTAACTGATTAATCAGAATAATGGACTGTCTCCGGTGATTGACTGATGCAGTAACATTGATCTATCACTAACTATGAGTGGTGAAGGGCGTATCTTCTTCTTTAAAATGTGACCACTCTCAAGACACCACTTTTTAACCACTGCCTGCTGGGGATTCCGGATCCAGACACGTATGCTTTATATGCATGGCCGGGGTCTCTGAACTCAGACGAAGGGAACAGGGCCTTGTAACTAAAGACCGTACTCGGAACAAAAGACCAGGCCGCTGGGAATTACCGACATTTTTTCACTCTCAAAAATGGAAATAATCCAGCCTTGTTTTGAAACAGTATACCACGGTTTGGGGCATTTAGAACAAGTGGATTACCACCGGGGACAAAAGCTCTCCACCACTGCAGAGATGAGCAACATAGCACCGCTGCATGCTAATCTGGCCCCTATTGAAAAGAGGTCAGCAGTGCACTGAGCCAGGTTCGTGAACAAAAGAAAGTTATATAGCACCGCACAATCTGGGCTCTTTTTACAAGGCTGCAGGCATAAATACTCAGGCATCAATAGATTTTGTCTGTCCGGGTAGAGTGGACACCAGACAGTCCTCCACATGTTTGTAACTGTCCAGTAAATGAAGATAGGAATTTTTAAAGAATTTTGAAAAGAGAAAAAAAATGATAAATATCCCGCCCCAGCATCATCAACATTGATAACTGCCCCGGCAGGAAGTGGTTAACAGTTGAAAGTTAGATTCTCTATTTGATGACTGTACTGCCTGGAACCTGAATTTGTTGGTGCTGATGTCCATTAAAAATGTAGTTTCTGTAACATGAAAATAAGATTTTGAAGTGCACTGTATTATGTTATTTCCATTTAAAACATTGCAGCTACATTTTCTGAATGTGACAACTTGAAAGTCAAGCTATGGAAAGACAAAAGCCCTGAAATGGGTCGACACGTTCATGTTTTTTTAAAGGAATTTCTCCCATTCTGTGTAGGTGCTTTTCCAAATTGTGAGCCTTGCCCGGAGTGCTTCCAGAACTGGCGCCAAGTGTTTGAGAACATGGCAACCCTATTCAGAGAGCAGCACAGGACAGTCAGAGGTAAGGGAAACCGTAACCCCTCCACCATGCGCCCAGTCTGACCCTTCAGTAGACTTCATTGTCTGCTTTCATGATAGAACCAATGTTGATTTGCCTGAAGCAGAAGCACCCCTTCATTGGTTGAACAGAGTTTTCATTTTTGTTGGTAGCGTTGCGACTCGGAACACGTTCATTTCATAGTCGTTCATGAACCAGGGAAGTGCAGATCTCACCAAGGGGCCCCTGTTGCTAAGGAAATCGCCCCCTCTCTTGGTCCAGCTTTGGGGCTCATTGCAAGGACGTTCCGTATTTGCCACATTGTAGCTGGGCAGAGTTACAGTGCATTCCAAAAAGACAGGAATCACAGTGACATTTTTCTGATTGGGCAAATAAGGTCTTTTGGCTATCATACGATGCACCCCCCACTTCTCTCCATCATGGGTTTGTGTGCGGTCTGTGTCATTATCATTGTTGTCATATGGAATTTTGACTGCGGTGAAATGCGGTATCTGTTTTCCTTACATGGGCCTCTGGCCGCACTTGGGTATATCAGTTGTCATTTCAACTGCCGGGGGGGGGGGCAGAGGGTATTCCCTCATCACAATATTATAATTACATATTGTGCTGCTGATGTGCACCCTAGCCATTACTGTGGCCCTCCCAATGCCCGATGCTGCTGAAAGAGATAAATATGTCATATTCATGTGTCAATCCTCTTCAACTGTAATAGTGAGAATTTCATCTGTTTTTCATCTTGAAGGACTTTTAGATAATTATGGCAATCTGACTGTACCAGAGGTAGATTACATGCTGGACTTCATCCGGAGGAACCTGAGCAGTGCTGCAGTGGCCATTGAGGTGGGAACCAGGGAAATCGTGGATCTAGAATACATACAGGTTGGATTTCAACAGGTGGGTTTCCGACGCGTCATCACCAATCAATACTTCAAACGGGTTAATGATGTTTGCAATTGAAATCTAGAAACTTGAACAAATTTGCATTACTTAACTGTGACACATTATCTCAAAACACATCGCTCTTTTGGCTCAAACTCACAGAGTTGCTGTTCACATAAATCACAAATGTTGATTTGATGAGAGGGACCTTAACAGCCACCACATTGTAGACAAATAGGAGCTCAAAGTCAGTGAACTCTTTTGAGAGTTGCAAGAGAGTGGTACAACATTCTGAAATCAGCTTATTTTTGTGAAAAAAAAGAATCAATTCTTTTCTTTTTTGTTTGATTTGCCTTTTTTTGTGTAATTTTGGAGTTGTGTTTCTTCCTGCTTGCTTGCCTGAATACTAAATGCTTGTGAATGAATATAGTGTATGCCCTCTCTAGATGCCATGCTTGTTTTCTTCCCTCAGATTTCGGATGAAGTAGACAACTTCACCGATTTGGTGACGGCCATTGAGTCCAATCGGTTGGAGCAGGCCTCCCGATTAGGCACTGTCCGTCTCTTCGCTGGCAGCGTGGTGGTGGGGGATGGCGCAGTCAGGAATGCCCAGCAGCTGCGGCAGGACCTCAATGCCCTGAGCAGCACCCAGGCCACGCAATTCCAACTTGGGAACGGCACCTGGATGGATATACAAGGTAGGAAGGGGTCGCTGGGGCACTGAACCAGCTCTTATAAAAAAAAAGGGGAGGTGTCCAAAATAGTGATGAAATCTGAATGTACAAGTAAGAAGTGCGGCATAATTGCTTCTCTGGGTAAAAATTATTACCTGGGGCCAATTTCGTACAGCTGCTTAAGCAAGAAATTTGCTTAAGTGTGAATAAACCTTGCTTGAAAAATCAGCTTACCAGCCAAAACTCCATGTGATTTATATTGGTTTGGCATGGTATTCAGTGTCTTTTGGTGAACATGACTAGGCCTACATAGATTTTGAGCTGGTAACCTTTGTTTTTAAGCAAGGTTTTATGTGCTTAGGCAAATTTTGTGTTTAAGCAGCTCTATGAAATTGGCCCCTGGGCATTTCCACTATAATGGCATTTTGACAAATTGGCATTCTATTAATATTTTTACTTGTGAAATAGAAAAACTGACCACTACAGCACTACCTGTAGCACCAACTTTACATAACATTTTAAATTTTTTCCCCAAACACTTGTTACAATATCATTTAGCATCATTCTGCTACCAACCTCGAGAACATTTGGAATAAGCAAAGTAAAAGTATTTTTGAAAACATTACTCTGTTTTGAATAGCTCACCCTACCGACCCAACTCCTGGTCATATTGTGATGAAGTGTCATAGTTTTGTTTGTTATCTTGTAGACATGTATACAGCCATTGAGGTCTCAGAACAACACATTCAGCAGCTCCTGCAAGATGTTAATAGACTCCTGCAGGACACTGAGCTTGCAGCAGCGGAACGCTTACAGGCTACTCAGATACTCAACGATGGCAACCGGGGTGTCGAGTACAACCAGAACTCGGCCCGCCTGGCCCAGATCAGCGCCGTCCAGCAGGCCTACCCGCTGGCCTCCACTGCCCAAAATGCCTCGGCTGCCCGGCAGGTGGCCCTGGAGGTCAACGGGACCATGCAGGGGATCCTGGACGGCGTGGTGTCCGTCCGAGGTCAGGCTGATGCCCAGGCCTATCGGAGTGAGGTGGCCAGGTTTAACGTCACCAATGCTGAGGATGCAGCTAGGCAGGCCCAGTCTGCAGCCATGAGCTATAAGGTACCAAACCCTCTCACAAGACCCATTTCTTGAATGCCACAATGTCACTATGCTTGTAGAGGTACAATTGTATTCAAGACGGAGCAAAGGGAAAATGGAATTATAAATCCCCTCTGCTTTGGGGGATAGGCCATAGTATTTTCTCCGCAATTCTTGAGTCAATCCTCCCTCCTCGACCTATGAAAAAAGACAGAAAAAATGAATGAAGAGGGTAGATTTGTAGATTTCAAATATTTTAAACAAAACAAAAAAGTAAAATTGTGGAAGCAGTGATAAAAACGCAACTATGTACATAACAGCAATAATAATTAACATTTGAAAGTAGAATCACCCCCTAGTGTTGCAACATTCAGCACTTTCCCCTTTATTCAAATTATTCCCCCTTTATTCAAATTATTCCCCCTTTGGCAAATGTTGCCAGCTTTCACCAATTAGAATTCATTGTCTCCCACACCCCGTCCCGCTTGAAGGCAAAATGTCAGAAGGGTGCAAGCAAACCTTTTTCTATTTCTGCGAGCCGGCTCTGATCCAAGTCTTGAACCAGTGGGTTTGTGACACCACGTGAATAGCTATTAAACTTCCATTCCTTGATGATGGCATTGTCTCAAGGCAATTTGTCTCTGATATATTTTGCCTAAGACGCAAAAAATTTATAATTATTTGGTTCTCAACGGCCTGGTAGTCAGGTAATTTTTGGCAAATACTGTTAGGCCCTGTCACCACAAAATAAGCTTAAAGTCAGAATTTTCAAAAACTGAGATATCAGTATATTTGAATTCAGCAGAAAGAGGGCTTTGCAATGGTATATACATGGAACACTTAGGGTAAAAGTACAAGTATTAAGGTGACATATGACATTATTCTGGCAGCTTTGGCTGAGTTTGGGTGGCTTGTTCCCATATGTTCACGAACAGCTCGATTTGTTGTTCGTGGGTTGGCCGCTCGAACGCTGGGAACAAACAGCCGGTTATCATAAGCAACATGTAACATGGCGGCGTCCATGTACGTTATTTGAGAGTTAAGGTTTGGATGGGTTGAATTCTTTTCTATATAAACAGGAACATTCATTTCTGTGCTACGGAAAATAAATAATGTTAATTTTGCAAAACTTCCCATTGTCTACATGGCCTATGGCTTTGGAAACCATCTCTCTACTTTTTGTAGCTGTTCAAAAATGAAAATCTCACGGGTTTTTCCGTGAGTTCCTGTAAAACCTGACTAGGAGGTGGTGTGTGATCCTGTTCCGAGAACTGTGTTCTTGAGTCGTGTTCCTGCTGTTCGAGTGTGAGAACAAGAAACCCGTGTCAAGAACAGGCCGCCAGAACTCGACCTTTGCGTGTTTGTTTCCCACATTGTTTCAACATTTCTGAAATGACACGAATAATGCTATCATCAAAATTGCCGAGAACATGACATTTTTAAAATCTGATTGTGCAAAAAATTGGAATTAAATAGACAGATTACTCTTTCCAAATATGACAAAACTTCATAAATTGACCTCCACTTCAATATTTGACTTTGAACCCTCAAAATAGGAAAGAGCTAAATGCAACTTCAAGCTCATTTTGTTGTGCCGGGTCACATGTTTGTACAACTAGATTTAGGGGATCAATATACTCACACTTCACCAAATTTTCTTACCCAATTTCATGCTAAAAGCAATATTGGTTTAAAAAGAACCCTGTAGTGCAATTTTTAAACAAGAACCTGATACATGTAGTACTGACAAAATGATACCAAAGTATTTTCAGTGTCATAACATGAATAAGATAACAAATGGTAAAGTGCATCTCTATGGGAAATTACTGTAGCATTGTACAGATCTCTTTTCCCCTTTTTCCCAGGACATTGCCTTGTCAACCAAGGCCAACATGACCAGCCTCTACATCCAAGCCATAGACACCCTCGTTGCCCTACGGGATGCCCAGGCGCGCAGTGAGGAGGCTAGGGCGATTGCCCAGGCCATCCAAAATATGACCGTCCGCCCCTCCACCGAGATGGGCCAGCTGGTCAGCCAGATCAATGTAGCCTCACTGACCACCTCGGTGGTCGAGAATTTGCTCCAGGACGCCACCGATAAATTTGGACGGGCAGAGCAGACAAGGGTGTCTGCTGCATCAGCACAGTAAGCATCATCAGGCAATTCTGCTGAGGTCCCTGTCATCCAAGCATTCCCAAACCACTCAAAACTGCTTGGAATGGTATTGCCCACATTTTCTTCATTTGTATTTCTGGTAATAAAACAAAGATTTCCTCATATTTGTTCCCCGTGTGCACTGTAGGCTGTAAGTTTGAAGAAACCAATTGGGAGGAAACTGTGAAGAATTTTTCCCAGTTATAAAGGCAAAGGGAGGACAATCCCAGATCATTTTTTTGTGGGAAACAGTGGAATTAGGTAGGGACTGAAAACCCGAGCCACATGGTGACTTGGGTGAGATTGGAACCCAGGTCACAGAGACTGAAAATGCATGAGAGAAGCGCTTACCAGCTGACTCGCCCAACTGACTCTCCCTACTTCTCGCGGATTGTATAAAATAACATAGTCTCATAGGTGGCGCAGTCGCTTTTCACTGTCAGGACAGCTTGCTTTGTTTTAGGATTAATCACATGGGGAGTTATTTCAGACATTGCCATTAGAATAATGGCTGCTTGATGGAATAAGATGCTTAAAAATTAGTAATGGGCATTTTTCAGTTGTTTTCATGCGACAAGGTGCGACAGAATTTAATGGTAACTCTTTTTGGGGGGTGCGGCTTTTGGCAGGCAGGAGGCAGAGTCTGTTGGTGCCCAACTACAGACCATCGAGTACGAGTTGACGGAAGCGGAGAGAGTGAGAACAGAGACCACACAGCGGCTGATGGAAACTGACAATAACATCACCAGCATCAGCTCAACAGCCAGCCAGGTGAGATGTGAGCGCAAAGCATAAATGCCAGTCTTCCAGATTTGTCAGAATTCGGAACATTGCACAATTTTTCAAAATAAGAATTTGAAATTTAAGATAAGCTGGCTACTACTTGAAACCGAGCAGGTGTGCAAAATTGTGACATCAGATCAAATCTTCATGCTGCATATTTGTTGGAGTTCAACTCAAGCCAATGTGTTTCCATGATGTCACCACAGATTTCTCTCTATTAAACGCTCTCTAGTTGACAACAGTTTGACTCGCCTAGTGAGCTCTTTGACATCAGCCTGCCAAGATTTGGTGGCATTAATTGGTATCAGTAACTCCACACCTGTTAAAATTGTACAGCAGGAAGAGTAGTTTGGCAGGGTAGCTGATCCATGGGTTGGCAGGTTTGTTGAGCATTAATACAGAGAACATGTGCAGGGGGGTTAATATAGGATTCGGATCAGCTGTTTTGTTGGTTCAGGGCGACATGTCCTAGGAATGGGGGCCTTGCCCCCCCCCAAAAAAAAGAGGCCTAAAATTAAAAAATAACAAAAATGAGCTGCTTCCTTTGATTCCTCTTTCTTCCCCAAAAGGCCCCAAAATGTAGCCTCACTCCACCCTTTTAAAGACCTTAAACGTGTACAGGAATAAAAATTCCAAAATTTTTACACCCAATAAGTTTGGCTCTCCCAAAAAATGGTTCTGATGATTCCCAAGCTGCTCTTGGAGTGCTTAGACTTTGATATCAATACCTCACAGAGTCACAGCACATCACCCAGAAGTTGACAACAGGAGAGCTCGCCAGGTTCTTCAACTTTTGTCTCACTCTTTCCGAGATCACACGGGCGTCTGAGATGTCAGTGTTTATTGCATGGTTGATTGTGACTGCAGAGTAGAGTCCCTGTTTACACAGGACTTTGCACGTGTGCACCAACCACTGCCTGAGATGAAGGTTTTTAAAATTCTGATGTTAAGGGCCTTTTATGTCTGTTTTCACCCCTAGGTTCAGCAACAAGCCAATGAAGCCCTTGCCAGCGGGCAGCAGACCTCGGTGGCCATCTCCACCCTTCTGGGAGGAGTGCGGTCCACCGCCCAGTGCTTCAGTGCCAGGAGGAACCAGGCAGAGGACGCGGCCAACAGGGCTAGCCTGGCCGGTACCCAGGCCAGCACGGCCCAACAGGTGAGTGTCTACCCTGACAGTTTTCCTTTAGGACCAATTCTCATCATGGCCAATCTTATCAATATTTTCCTGACAGTGGAGACTTTATAGACAATCAGTGGTGGCAAACCGTACCAGTCCCACATGATTGGTCAACAGTTGTTCATGTCAATTTGTGCATGTCCTCATTATCTCAAGCATGATGTTGGGCTTCCCCTGGGGTACTGATATGTGTGAGATGGTTAAACAAATTTTGCTAAAATTCTAGGACCTAAAACAAAAGCCAACATTTTCAAAAGGCATAAAATAAATTCTACATGGTTTAAGTTTGCATGTACCCTAAATTTTCCTCTATTTAAATTGAACTTGTGTTCTGTGTCCATCTTGACTATTCTGAGCAATTTTAATTTGCTTTATCCTTCCATCTTTGTCTAGTTTAAGTGCGAGCTGGTGCATGTATCCGAGGCAATCTGCTTTTCACATGCACACTTGCCTTCCTCGTTTAAATGCTAGAAGTTGGAGTTCCGCTTTCTTAAAAGTCACACCCTCCAGGGCCAAACCAGCCTATGCCCCAGATGGAACCGATTTGCTGCCACTGAGTGTCTCAAAGTCCCCCAGTTACTGAACACAGTTTCCAACTTTTAGAATTTTCCTTTGGAACAAGGGATTTTCAACAGTAAAATATGGCATACTGGAGTTTTTTGGTCAATATTCTGGGGGTTCAAAATTGAATTTTATGGAGTTAAATCATCCTAGCTGTCAGAGGTACATTCAGTGTGATTCGTTCCTACTTTTTTGAATTAGCTTTAACCACTTGCTGCCGGGTGGAATATAAGGTTGCATGATGTAAAACCGGGAGATTTTCAAGATTTTCCATTTTTAAAATTCTTAAAAAAACCATAGCTTCATTTGCTGGACTGTTAACTCCTACAAAAATAACTGACTGGTGACTACTCTAATCTGACAGACAACATCTATTGATGCAAAAATTGTAAAAAGAGTCCAGATTGTGCAGTGTATGTAACTTTCTTTTGTTCCCGAAACTGGCACAGTGCGCTACTGGTGTCTTTTCAATAGATTAGTGTTCAGCAGATTGTGTCGCTGGAGCGCTGGAGAGCTTTTGTCCCTGGTGGTAATCCGCTCGTGCTGAATGCCACAGACAGTGGTATAATCTCTCAAAATAAGGACGGATTTCCTCTGCTATCAAACTGAAAAAAATGTTGGCAATTCCCAGCAGCTCAGTCTTTTGTTCCGAGTATGGTCTTTTGTTACAAGGCCCAGCTCTTTTGTCCAGTTTCGGGCTCCCTGGTTTCATGTATAAAGTCTATGTGCCCAAAACTGGGCTCCCCGACAGCATATGGTTAAATAAAGACATGGCATGCTGGCTGGATCAAGTTGACGGATATTCCATATATTGTAATGTCTCTAAAAACCAAGCGTCCATAAAATTGTACACCTTTTACCCCTGTGACATGTTCAAACATTCCTTTGCTGCCATACGAATGCCTTTATAATGACCATTCTTGTATTCCCAAAGTGAGTTTGGGTGATGGAATGCATGTAAGATGTGAGATCAGATGCGTATCTTCATTCGATATGGAAATACAATTTTGTCATTCACTTCATTTAATTGTTAGAGAAAGGAGATAGAAAGAGTTCCTTCAAGTTAATGCATGCCGCGAATCATTTGCTTTTAGCTCCCCCTTGAAAAAATAGGTTCCCTCCCTGGTTGCTTTCTCAGAAGTTTTACCCTATTTACACTACTGTGAACAAGTTAACAAATTAACAAACAAAGCAGGCTAGATGCAGCGTCATTTTATATTCCATGTAATTTCTGTGGCCTGACTTCTGATTTGTAGACATACGAGTCCAGTGCAGAGCACACCGCCGCCCTTGTTCCTCAGATAGCAGCAGCTAAGGCACAGTCTTCCTCCAACCTGAGCCAGGTCCAGGCGGTAGCCGACGATGCAGAGCGGCTCCAAGGTGACTTAGTCACCGTGCAGCAGATGGCCGATCTGGATGGTGAGTCTGCTTTTTCATTCCTCAAAACCCTTTTGTCTCTTCACCTCCTGGCTCTCACAAGTAGAGTTAAATAGCACACAAATAAAATGTAGTTTTCCCCAGTAGGTGTATGTATAGTGTGTATGGACAGCAGGGGCTCGTAAACAGCACTGCGTTGCCTGCTAATGCAAACTTGTACAAGGTAAATGCTGCATGCAATCTTGATAGGTCCCAATACAGCGTGTTCTAAAAGCAAGCACAGTGGGCAATGCAGTCAAAGCGAGCTTCACTCATGATATGGTCTCACAACTGCACGCTTTTAAAATTTGTTCTGCTTCCATTAGCATGTGTGGCACAGAGTATGCAGGACCACATTTCATCTGACTGTGCACAAACCCAAACAGTGTTTGCTGGGTTGCCAGTTGCACAGCTGCAGTGGCATTCAAGATTCTGTCCTAGGCCTATTTTTGTCTTTGGCAGTGTTATGTGCAGGTTCACAATGTAAGAACGTTAAGGTCAAAATGTAAGCACTTGTTTAACATTACTTTTATTCTGTTTGGAGCAAAAGAGCTGCGATAGGCCAGGCCTTTGTACTCATGACGTTACACTTTGTTTACATGCGCACTTTACAATCGAGCCACTGACAGCCCACAGTCCACTGAGCACCCTAGAAAAGCACACACACACAAAATGTGGCACCATCAGCATAGAGGTCTGTTGTTTCAGGCCAAACGGGGACAATCTTGCTCATGAAAAGATAAAAGTGCCCATGTTGAGCTTATGAAATGAACAATCCAACAATGAGACGTTGCCCTTAATGCTTTTCTTGCAGCCTTGATGACACAGTACATGACCCAACGCCAGCAAATGGAGGAGCTGTCCGCCAAGCTGGAGGGACTGGAGACAAGTCTAGATGCCATCTTGACCAATCTGGATGGTGCAGCAGGAGGTACCCTACAGTGCAACTAGTAGACACAACATTTCCAACCTTACTTAAGGTTGTTTCTTAGAAAACTAGCATGGTGCTCTAACCTTTGCTACATAGCGCATCAGTAAGACATTAGGGTTGATTCCGCTCATCCCCCAAAACTTGGCCGTCCAGTGCCCAATCTTTTCGAAAACTTGACATTAGAGACACTCAGTACAATTACATCTGGAAGTTTTAATTCAATTTGACCTTGGCTTGTACTGTTGTGGTCATTTGAAATTCATGAGCTCCTCACGGCCTGCATAGGAAGAGTACGTCAGTGCAAGAAATTTACTTTCGCCTGGCATGTCTTGGACAATTGCCGTTTCTTTTCTGATAAATCTGGTTCTTAAAGTCGAAGACAAGGACAGTGGTCTGCAAACCCCTTGAAAAATAACCTTCTGTAATTTCTTGCTACAATTATAGTAATCCATGATTAATGTGTACTTGAAAGTTAGTCCTGATTGTGTTTGTTGTTCCTAAAATTTCTTTGATAGTTTTGTCGTCTTCAGGATTTACATGTGTACCATCATCGGGTTATTTCTGAAGTTTGAATGAATTCATATTATAAACATTTTGTTCAGCACTTGTCAACTTTTTAAGTAGATTTTTAAGACATTTTTAACTTTCTGTTTTTTTTCGGTCTCAAGAGTCTTGTTTCAATATGCATTTTGTGTCTATCTCATTTGTGATCAGTTCCATCAAAATGAGTCGTCAGTACTTTTTTCTTTCAGCCTGTTTTTTCAAGTTTTTTTACTCTCGGCTCTTGACATGTGACCCATTTTGGAAATCTGAGAAATCAACAGAAGTTCCTGGGTGAAATGAACCACCGTTCCTAGTGGTATCTATTGTACAAGCTCTCGGCAAGAAATATGCTCAGAGTAGCTTCAAATAACTTTGGTGACTTGTGACTCATTTTGTGAGGTTGGGTAACTTTTAATGTAAATATGAGCTTAATAGGAATTGAAGATTTGAAAAAGCTGTTCATACTTTGTAAGATAAATTATATATTTGCTGTGAAACTATTTATACAGAAATGCCCACTGATACCTTTTTTTGGTCGTCATATTCATTTTTACATCCTTTTAAAAAGAAATTTCTAACTTGAAGCTGTCCGTTTGGTTACTGTGTGGAAACATTATTAACCTTCTGCACGATGAAGAAGTATGATGGTTGTAACATTTGCAGTATCTAATCAATTTCCATAGTTTGTAATTAGGCAATAAATATGTGCTTGCAACCAAGCACATTTGTTTTCCCCATTCCTAAATATGTTTTTTTGTCAGAGAGTCAGAAGAAATCAATATACGATAAATTTCCAAGGATTTTATCCAAGAATTTTACTTATTTTCCCAAACACCCCCATCCATTTTCTGGTACATTCCTTGTGCAAGTAGGGCAGAAGACTCTCCTTATTTAGCGCGCGCGCACATGGCGAGTTCCGCATGCTGCGAGCACACAGTCTCGACTAAAAGAAATGAATTAAACTGTCTCGTATTCAGGTGCCGCAGTGGGCATTATCAAATGTTATTACACGGTGATGTTGCACATTCTAGACTTGGGAAACTAAAGGTATTTATGAATAAACAATATCATTTTGGCAAGGTCCATTTTTAAAGTAAACTCAATTTTGGGGGGGCTTTTAGGTGACAGCTTAGTAGTAATTTTCCTCAATGTTTGGATTCCTAATAAATCAGTTTGTCCATCTGCACTATAAAAACGATTTTGCATACTGTCCAACTTTTTTCCAAATCAAAGGTTTGTCTGTCACCCCTCAATAAGACTCTGTGTGCTATCCAGGAAAATCTTCTTAAGATTGCATTTGTGGAGCACTATTACGCATATTACAGGCCACAAAAAAAGAACGTAACAGCTTACCTATACAATGCTATAAATATTGAACTGGTTTTGTTCTTCGTCAGACTGCTTCATTGGATTTTTGTATGAATTCACTCTCAATGTTAATTCATCCAGTGTTGCCTTGTTCTTTGAAGTTTAATACATTTCTACAAACCAAAAACTTTACAAAATGTGTCGTACTGCTATGTCTTGATGTAACATCCCTCAATGTGCTTGACAAGATTCACGATTCTCATCCATTGGACTTCCTGGAAAAGTCACAGTTGGGAAGAGCTCGCATTTCGTGATATTGTGGTTCACACAAAACAAGGAAGTCCTTGTCTTTATTGGAATGAAAACAAGAAATTAGTTAACGCATAACCAAAGCCCTGCATTTGATAAATGGAATAAATATGTGCTTAGCCGGTTTTACATGTCAGTTTAAAGTCCCGTGAAGGACATGCTTAGTCCCATTCAAAAATACCTTTTGAGTCAGAAAGTCAAAACAAGTATACAAAAATCCAATTTTGCTCAACACTTTTACTTCATTTTTTTTCCACACACCCCTCTAACCATGTTACAGTATGTTCTCTCCACAAGTAGTCGTAAACAATCTCCTCTTATGGAGATTGACGCATATTGCATAAGGTGACGCACAGCCAGCTGATGCATTTAAGACTGTCTCAGGAAAATGACTCAATTAATGCCCAAGCCACAGGTGAGGGCATTATCAGCATAAGTCTCCTGAGCCAGTCTTAAATGCTAGTTTAATTAAGACCAGCCAAGCACCTGTTTATTCCCATTCATATATACCTTTTAGTCAAAGTCAACAGAATGCAATATATGATGGCTTTCCAAAGATATTCTAGAATTATACTTTCATTTTCCCAAACACCCCTGTCCATTTTATGGTATATTCCTTGTGCAAGTTGTCCAAATGAATCTCCTGATATGGACTTGGCGCACGCAGACTTTTGACCAATAAGAATCAATTAACTGTATCCAGGTGCCAACACATGATTTACAGAGCGCGCATAATCACTTCTCAGTGGGCATTATCAAATGTTAATACACGGTGAAGTTGCACGTTGTTGACCAGGTAAACAGGTATTTAGAAATTAAGAATTAAATACAGGCACATACAATTGTCCTTTTTGGCAGTCAAATAATTCTGTAAATACCAAAATCTGTTCCAATAATGGTTTACCTTGGGTACCAATAATTTTATCAAAATTAAAAAAAAGCCTGATACAATGTACAATAGTAAACATTGGCAAAATGCGTAGTGATTATGGTTCTCTGGAATGGCTTTTAATTCACAATCCCAGTTTTGCTGCATTTTTTGCAAAAATGTAACGACATTCTAGTACAAATGCAGTTGATGAAAGAATACCCTTGCAGAAACATCTAAATCAAACTACTTTTAGTTAATTACATGTACCTATACACAGACAGTAAAAGCAGCAAGATAAAAAAAAATACCGATCTATTTTATGCCACAGGTTTATACAGCTGTTAACTCCCCGTGAAACTTGGGAGGTCAAACGACCCTGACTTTTGAATGCATCAATCTATCACATTCGTAGGCTTCCATAGCCCTATGCATTGATAACATATGAGTGTTCACTGCATGCACTGGTGGGAATGGGGGTCATTGCTGTACAGGTTTCTCTCAAAGGAAGTCAATTACTGTGATTGCCGTGTGCATCAGCATTTTTGACTTCAAATTTTTGTTGTGTGCATCGGCTGTGCTGTATTTCAAAGAAATCTGGGTCAATGCTGAACACGCATGCAAGTACAGCACAGTTCCACACTGCGCGCATGCACCTGTTGGTGTTATGACCCATATTCTATCCCACCATGCATTGCGTGAAACACAGTGACACGTCATCAGTGCATAAGGCTATTTAAATTTTAAAAGTGATGCCAGGAGCAGGTTCGAGCAACGACTATGCATGTAATTTGGCCATGAAAGAATTGCTTGATGGTACCCTCTGTGCTTAGTTACAAAAAATTGATTCAACTGTGCTCCAGATCCCAATTCCAAATAGTTGACTTGAGAGTCCAACCATCAATTGTCACCCTGTGAGTTCCGGGGCCTACTCTTTGATCATCTCCACTGCTCTTACAAGGTGCTGAGAAGGGTAAATGTCCTTCACAAACTCTTGTGAAGGAATTACGTCACATCAACAGACGTGCGTAGCATAATTTGTGGGTTCTAATTCATGCAAATACATTCAGTTTGCACAACTTGCATACACACAGAAGAGCTGATCTCTGTTACTGTTTAGATGAACTCGACCCAAAGAGTGCTCAACAAAAGACTACATCATGCAGCCCCAGAGTTGCTCTTCCCGGTGCCCTGTAAGAGCAGGTGGGATGAGTGATGGCCCATTGCAAACTGCAGCAGTGAAAGATCAGCTGGAAACCATTCAACTGAGATACACACTCACACATAGTTTTCAGATGGTGCCCTGTATCCTTCAGCACAGTGGTAAACTACGTCTCAAAATCTAATAAAAGTTTTCTCCACTGGGTGGCACCTATTATTGCACTTCTAATGCGCTCAACTGTTTTCATTTTAAAACAAAGGATAGATACATATCCTAGATGTACACAAAAGCCTAAGGTAGCATGAAATGTCTTGTTTGGAAACTTGTAATTTTCGGATACCTGGCAACTGAATAGAACTGTATGGTTTCATCTGATGCGGGCCCACACTCGCACAGCCTGCGGTACATGTACCATCGGCATTGTCTGGACAAGCCTGCTCAACTTCAGAAGCACCCTCCGTTTCAAATGATTAACCACATCACGCCAGGGGCATTTGTGAATGTTGATTCTGCTGGGACAAATCTTTTTCATTGTTTTCTGTTTTCTAAATTCTTCAAAAATTCATATCTTCATTTTCTGGACAAGTACACCCACATGATAGACAACATCTATTGATGCTTGAGTATTTCAGCTAGGCCTGCCGCCTTGTAAAAAGAGCCCAGATTGTGCGGTGTTGTGTAATTTCCTTTTGTTCCCGAAACCGGCAGTGCACTGCTGACCTCTTTTCAATAGGGGCCAGATTAGAGTGCAGCGGTACTGTGTGGCTCATCACTGTGGTGGTAGAGCGCTTTTGTTGCAAAAAAATGCTGGATTTTCTCCACTATTGACAGTGAAAAAATGCTGGTAATTCCCAGCAGCCTGGTCTTTTGTTACAAGGCCCAGTTCCCTTTGTCTGATTTTGGAGACCCTGGCTACGCATATAAAGAATATGTGCCCGAAACCGGGCTCCCCAGCAGCAAGTGGTTAAAAATATTCATTGATCAGTGTAAAAAACAAACTCTGACTGCCAATTTATATAAAAAGCATCAAGAAACAGAAAAATGGCAAGTACAAGAGGAGCAATGTTGATATTTTCAGAAAGCAAATAAAAGCAAAACTACAGAAAAGCAAAATAGTGATTCTACACGGCACTCATTCTAAATAATCACATTACCCAAATGTTAAAATACAAATGTACTGCACTAGATACTATAACCATCAGTTAAAAATTACAAACTAATCTACATTACAGAGAAAACTATATTCTAACTTTTTACAGGGAAAGATTCCAAAGACTCACTTGATAAACAAACCGGTATGAACACTCTTCAAGCATGGCACAGAATCTGGGCAGAGAGGTACAAAACCTCAGTTTTTCTGGAAATTTAGGTCCACGATAGGTCAACAAATTTCATTAAAAAAATAATAACATTTACACAAAATAGAAACTCACAATTCAATTGGATCCCCCAAAATTTGAGAAAAAAGCACCACATCTTCAATTCTTAAAGAACATTGCAATAAACACTGCAATTTTCTTAAAAGTCAACGCATTTTTATTTCACTGTCTGCCCACTGTGGCTGGCCTCATAAAACAAGAAAAATGAATTTTGAGCGAGGAATGAACCTGCTTTCATCATCCATATTTCTCCTGGTGGTAAAATGTCTCTCTGCCTGTCCATATAAACCATACCCTGCCCCTCTCTACTGCACCCTCCTAGTCCTTCTTGTTGGCTCTGTTCCGGCCGCTCCAGTACCCATCCGTCTCATGGGGGGCAAAGTACCCCAGGCCGGCATTGATGAGCCAGGTCACACCCACCAAGTGGCCCAGCATGACGCTCTTGTCAATGTCTGAATGGTCCAGGGACGAGAGTGACGTCACCACCACCAAGATAATAGTCTGGAAAACAATACAAATATCATCTGGTAACATATCGTTTGTAAAACAGCAAAATTGTTCCAATCCAAATCTTTGCTAGGCAATTAAGTTTTTCCTTACTAAACCCCAGACTGAAGCCAGGCTCAATCTTAATCTACTACCTGGAATCATGTCTAGGTCTTTGCTGGTTTCAAATATATATAGGCACATGCCGATAACAGACAGAACCATAGGTCTGGAAGCCAATTTTAGACACAAATGGTGGATGGAGCATACATGTACATCGGTCTGGTGACCTTGCTGAGTGTTTATATTCCAATACTGTGAGGTTGGCTCGCTCAGGAAACCAGACAAAGATGGCTGGAACTCACCAGGATCCTGCAGAGGAGGACATTCCTCTTGTCCTCGTGAAACATGAACCCCGGGGCCACAGCACTCAGGATGGCCGAGCCAATCAGCATGGCCCCAACCGCCTGCTCCAGGAGAACATGCACATCGTTGATTTTCACGGTGGACTCCTGTCAGCGACACGGCAAACAAACTCTCCTCAGACTCTCTTTGCACCGATGCACATTTTTCATTAACTGGTTAAAATTACGCATTGTTACATCCCCCCATCAAACTCACTTTTTCATCACTGCAATCAAAACTTGATTAGCTAGAGAGTGGGGAAACAAACTTTTCATGGGGGAATGATTCACCAAATTTCTCTGAAAATTTCTAAACACCAGCCACTGAAATTCAATTTTTTTTGGGGGGGGGAGTTGATATAAATCAACACAGGAGATATTAATTTTACAGATTTGTGTAGCGACCACTTTAATAGATTAAACAATCACACTTTTGGCTTCTTGATGCAGTTTTTAGTATTGAATTTCATATTTCAAGTACAAATGTAGCTTGGGCTGGCCTTTTAATCTGTCCATTTCTTTTTTATTTTCTTTAATTTCCTTTGATCAGTTCCTCCTGAGGATGCTGACAAAAGGCCACCTTTTGTGGAGTACAAATCGACCGTCACACCACGAACTTACATATCATGAATAGATGTTTCATGTTTACAAAGTCTGCGGATGGTGCAGTCACTTCATGGTACACCACAGTTGTTGTATATGTCGCTTTGTAGTGCAAACAACAACATTATTGAATGAAAACTTATACTAGGGCAGTGTTATATTTGGTTGTACCAGATTCCCACAAGCAAAAACAAAATAAACATGGTTTCACAAAAATAAAAAACTTGAAGGAAAAGTACTTTTGGGCTTTACTGTCGGGCATATGCATTCAGATTAAGTTTACTTGGAACACCTTGAAATATGCTTTAAATTTGTAATCATGAAATTGAAGTTTTCCTTTTCATGTTTGACTGATTTTCACTTCCGAATATTTGATTACAAAAATAAATATTCAATATTTGATTTACAATCAATCGGACATCCGAATATAAATCCTCACAGCCCTGCTAGCCAGCAGACGACACCAATATTTGAGTGTAATGTACGGACAACGAGATCCTTTGCCCTCTCTGGGAAGCACTTCAAATGTAAATCCGTCTTGACGGCCTCGCTGCTTACTTACCGGAACATGCATCTTCAGCACCAGCGCAGGGTACGAGTACCAGAACAGACCAAACATCAAGGACAGGAAGAAGTCGAACCGCAGGTGGAAGTTAAGCCAGCTGTCCAGTTGGGTGTGGCCGCCGTAGTTTTTGGCCGCCAGGAAGTACAGGGCGCTGCCGAGCGTCCAGAGGACCGCGCCCAAGACTCCAAACCTCACAAACTATTACAGGAAGATCACGAAATCGACTGTTATTAGCACAACAGTTTCAACATTAGCTTTCCATACCTAAAACACATTATAAGCGGCAGTTAAAAAGTGAAATGTCTACAGTGGTCAGTTTACTTTTAATAGCGCAGCAATTTGGTAACAGAAAATTCCTTCCAATACAAGCAATTGGAAATTTGCTGGTGCTGGTCTTAGGTGGGAGAAAAAGACTGGTTCCCAATACCATGTGCCAACGATGGGTCTCCATTGTGATGCCATTCTTGGCAATACATTATAGGATGACATCACCATTCCCAATGTTATGTTATAAGAGTTCCAAAATTCAACACAGCAAAAAAATAGGGTTTATTTTAAATTTGAGCACGGGTCTAACTTTCATCAAACAAAACAATGATGATCTCTTTAGAAAATAGTTTGGTGAATTTTGGTGGCTAATGATAAAGGGAGAGTAACACTGACCTGAAGTGGATTTGGGAGATTTTTTGGAAGCAAAGGTCTCTTCCTGGGTAAAAATGGCTCTCCGTTTTTGAGAATGGGGTCCCATAATCAAGGAAAAGGTACACAAATTGGAAGAAAAGGGGAGAAAGCCCAAAACCTCCTGCCCTAAGCACTCACTTGCTCATTCAGTAGTTTGCCCTGGGTCCTGGCCACGTACATAGACACCAAGAGAGCTGAATTGCCCTGCATGGAAAAATGTCAAGTTTTCAAAAACTACATCTACAGGTGCATGTAAGTGAATATGGATTTTATTAGTTGGGTTGGCTGATGCCTCATGTTTGTCTTTATAAAATACACCTGCATACATAAATCTTAGTTATCCGATTGGTGGATCGTGGATCACCTGTTCCATCCCACAGTATCTATTGAACAGAACTTTAATTGACTGTTTCCCGTCCCCATTTTACATATTTCATTCCCAGTAAAAACAGGGAACAAAAATGTAGGGACGGGAACCCGTCTATCACTGCAAGGCAATGGGTTGGCGCTTCGGACACCAATCTGTTTTGCAATATGTCGGAGGCAAATATAGGAGGGTCTTTTGTTTTAACAGATGAGGATTAATGCAGGTGACAAATAATTCACCTTGAGGCATGGAACATTTCACCTGTCACCTCATGAAATTGTTCTAACCACTGCATGCATAAACATTCATTTATCTGTCTACCACTGTATCTACACGTAGCAATGCCTTACCACAACCCTGGTAGCCAGCAGCATGACTTGCGTGTAGTTGTCGGTCGACTTGCGCAGGAAGAACCAGGACAAGCCGGAACCAATCATGAAGGAACCAAAGGTTCGACACAGCATGACTATGATGCCCTCTATCTTGACTTTGCTAACCACCTGAACATTCAGGAGAAAGCAAAAGCTATATTTTGTAATTAACCAATTAACTGATGGCAAGTATTGTGCTAAGTAGGTCTAGTATAGGGCTCGTCATTCCGCCGAACCCCATGGTTCTAGAGGAAGACAGGAGCGATGCTCATTCATTTTTATATTGGCAAATTTAGTAGCAGTTATTATTGTCATAACTCTGTCTTGGATACTTTCCATTTTTTGGCTTAGAAAGATTAAACGACAGGGCGATATATCCGCATCACACTCACCATAAGATATCTCTTTCTGCCGATACTGTGTGAGACAGAAGCGCTTTGGGAAGGTCGAGAGCAAACATTTCTGCTCCTTTAGTCAGTTTTGCGTGGTACCATGATACGTTTTCTACATAGGCTACCAGGGAATTTGATCAATGATCGTGCTCATACAACAGACTTGTTCCCATCCCTGCAGCATTATATGGTAATGCGGGGACCGCTAACCAGACTATATGTACTCACTGGTACCCACACTAGTTTCATATTAAAGTTCACACAATTAAAGGAATTGAGGGAACAGTGCATTTGCAGACGACATCGTTTACGTCCGTGTATAGGTTAATTGTACAGTTTGACAGTACGTATAGGCCTATCGTCTTCTGAAATTCAGAGCTTGTTTATTTGGATGAATTCCTTAAGACAGAGGTATGACATTAACACTTGTTGACCGCTTTGGTGTGGGATATGACGTTTTGAACACAACAATTGTTAATTGTCACTGCTAACATACATGTAACATTGAAAAGTGCGTCATACTTTATAACTGATACTTGTCAGTAAGCCCAGACCTTGGAGATTGAATACAGTACTTGGGGACCCCCATTTTTTGTCATTTTAATCTTGTAAAACTGGTCAGTCCCCAAAAAACAGAAGGCGATGCTCTCTTTATTGCACTGACCCTATTTTGGGGAAAATTTCAAACTGTAAATTGTGAGAAAATGTGACTTTCTTACTGGTAAACCCAGCCATGCAAATTTGATTCATGTGTCAAGTGTTAAAACATCCTAGGCCTATCATCATTGAAACGGGTGTCAGTCACTTCGCCCCATTTCAACTTTGCCCCACCGATTATCGTTCATTCTTTTCTTTGAGCTTGAAGAGAGGCTTATGTAACAAATAAAACTGTCAAGGGTTTGAGTACCCAGCCAAGTCGGAGGTTCCGATTCAAACAACTTGTCGAGGCAAATGTTATGTGTAAAAGCATAGCCTATTTTGGACCTAAGGTTGCCGGTATTAATTTTATGGTATCATCTCTTCACTGTGATTAATTGCCAGAGACGAGCGCGAGATGGTACAGTTTTCCGTTCTTCTTTTTTTTAAATACCCGGTTCTGTTCTGAGAGTACATGTATGTCACAAAACAGTAATTTAAACATCAAAATGTGTTAAATAGAAGCATTCAAGCATTAAATAGAAGACAAAGAGGAGACTTGGGAAACGTTAATTTTTGTTTCATTCATTCATCCAACCTTATTTCAGCAAGGGTACCCCAGTGTGAGTTGCACAACTTATCCAAGCTTCATGTAATACGGGCCCATGTATTATATGCCTCTTCCATCAACCCACTAGAATGGAAGTGGATGTGAAAGACAGTTTGAAAACTCCAATCAATATGTAACCACTTCACTCACTTCCATTTTCTCTAAAGTTGGCTTTGGAGGATACAGATTTAGAAATGTCCAGTTTGTGTAGTCAGGAGCTGCTGAACCATTCATTACGAATCTATTCAGCACTGGCATGGGAGTATGATGCCAAAGACGTGTCAGAAACATTTTCCCTATAATAAATGACCTGATGTAGCCTACTGGACAGTGATAATTAACAAATTACCAGAATATGTAGGCCCTAAATATTCTACAGAATTTACACTTAGAATATGTGCGCAAATGCATTGTCTTCTATGGGCACTAACTTGAAAGGTAAGAAGCTTTTCTGGGATGAACATGAACGCCAGGCCGAATACGCAGACAGCGACCGTGTCCACGAGGATCCAGGTCCGCCTGTTGCGGGCCCACATTGCCACCAAGAACACCAGCAGCAGGAGGCCCGACCGCCCGTACTCGATGTACGCCGGATCAAGGGAAAAAATGAATGGAATCGAGTCTGTCTGAGTGCCTTCAGACTTTGACACTGTTTGCTCCGGCATCTTGCCTGACTTTATAAATTAATTACTCCAGAAACTGGTTTTCGGAGAGTTGATGTTGACCACTTTTTTTTAGGACGTCCTGGAACGAAAAGTGTAGCAGACGCTATTTTCCGCGTGGGGTGAAAGGTCATAACAGGTACTCGGCGCAACCGGTAAGTACCCGTACCCGCCAGTAGCTGGTTGCCGGCGCAGCAAGTCACTTTTCTTCTGCAGTGCATGCCATGTACTAAAGGGTGCAGTCCACTAATTCAAGCGAGAATTTCTGGCCAGCTCATTAGCATTAAAAGTGCCCCCAACAGTATCTTTTGAAAAAGGAGATTGTATGGCCCCCCAAATGGTGAGATTGTGTAAATCTTTGCCAGAATCAACTCCCTGGGTCTTTGGGCTTTCATCTGAGAGCAGGATGGTTACAAAATACCATTGAAAAATAGTCCTAAGTGCCCCAGAAAGTTGAGGGTTGTCACTTGAAAATGCCGGGCTACAAGCAGACTTTGGAAAAATCACTTCTTGGAGGGTAATTTTGTTTTGAGGGAATAACTCAAAATGTAATGAAAAGAAAGTAAAAGATTATGGACCATACAATAATTCAACGTGTGTTTCAGATGCCTCATGGATGTTGGTGCGCATATTATTGGGCCCCGAACAATGTTGATTTGACTCTGTTTTCAATGGGCCTGAATTCAACTTGAGAATATTTTTCGCTTTTTTTATTTTCCGCTGAAACACTTTACTGGTCTCATGTGCCAGGGTAACACGAGAAACTTGGATACCGATAAAACTCGATGCAGATTGGCTCTCGTTTTCTCAAAGTGAAAGGGACTAGACAAAAGGACGTTGTTATAAAAGGATTAGTAAAACAAAGAAGACACAAGAATTCACTAAATGGGATTCTCCTTTCTTTTTATAACGTTAAGTTTGCCAAAACAATATTCTTTACAAGAGTCGATAATATACGGCCGTGTCCGAATCACTTGGCTACGGCCGGAATTTACACACGACATAATGCGAACTGGTCGCGGCCAGTGCCACAGATTCGTGCGTAATTTCCAGCAGTAGCCAAGTGATTTGGACACGGCCTGATACTTTATTTTCATTGTGAGTAGCGCCACCTAGTGTCACACATATGGGTCCAACCTAGACTGGTCCCCGCCCCAATTGTATTAGTATAGGGACCCCTGTCCCTGGCCCTATAGACCTTTCTCTAATAAATTCATAATTATGCACGCATGCACACAATGGCTTGGGCGGCAAGAGCCATTTAAAATGTATGTACAGGGGTGTGATTTTGATCATTTTTCTCTCAGGTACGGTTTTCTGGCTTTAGTAAGTTTTCCGTCATAAAACCACATTAAAGCGTTTTTGCTATTAATTTCTAATCTACGCGGAATTTTTCACGCTTAATCTCGTAAGCGCTGGAAAAATCCCGATTGTAAAGTCTTTAAGAGCACTGAAAAGCCCTCTTAGAGAAGAAACTAATAGCAAAACGATTTAATGGGATTTTCTGAAGAAAAAACTAAACAAAGCCAGACAATCTGAGAGAAAAGATAAAAATCGCGCCCCTATACATTTTCAAGGGTGCACCTTCGTATTTAGGCCAGAAACATGTCTGCCGAGCTCATTAATAAAATTTATTTTCAAAATATTCTATATTAGAGGGTCCTGAGAGTCATGGAACTGGGGAATTGAAGAAATATGAGACTGAACCTCTGGGCCGGACTTAGGGCTTCCAATTCTGAGCAATTTGGATGCAATCGGGTCCGAAAGTAGAACTGTTTGGGCCATTTTGCAGAGGGATGTTTTTTCAAAATGGCTACTTTTCTGGACAGGGAAATTTTCTGCATTTTAGGGGTGTTCTGCCTCTGGTGAAAATTTCTCAAAAATTCATTTGTCAAGCCCACGAAAATTGAAAGGAAAATGAAAGAGGACATGTGGAACATCATTTTTCTGTGCAGCTTGAACACCTGTGAGATGAGTTGTGAGTGTTTCTTAAATATTTGTGAAGTATGGGGATTTATCACTGCTGTCTATGGGAATTTATTTCTAGTGGTGCACCCTCCATGGCCCTTGCCGCCAAGGCCATTTATGCGCATGCGTGTATAATTATGAATTTATTAGTAAAATTTCTAGTACAGGGACCGGTAGCTAGCTGCAATTTAACGTGTGCTATTAGCCCTGTCAATTTGGATACTGAGTATTTAAGTTTTTGTCAGGTCAATGGCATTACTTAAAAGAAATATGTTTCAGTGGGGCGGCGAATAAAATACAACTGCCTATCCTTGCTAGGCCTCTGTTGCATGATCACAGTGTGGTAAATTATTTATTGTTTTACAGCGATTTATTTCAAATCAGTGGTTATTGTGTTACGTTTTAGATAAATAACCATTTATAGTGAAGTTATTTTAGGCAACGAAAAAGAAAAAAGCAAAATATGCTATAAGCTCCTGCTTGATTTGTGCACTGAGCGGGCATCGTTTACTCATTTACATACAACCGGCAGGATTCTGCCGAATTCATTACCCGCTACCGGTCCCTACGTTCGGAGGACGTCTTTAAAACGTCCGGGACGGGAACCAGTCTAGATCCGACCAAGATCCAATTTTTCATGGAAATGATCTGCGAGCCCAAAAAGACGAAAGTGGCGGAATTGAAATACAGTAGTTTCACAAAATATGTTCCATGCAATCCATTCAAACGTAAGGGTGACACCTAAACTACAAATAGCGACCACGATGCTCTTATTATTCAGCTCTGAGAAACATATTCATTTGCTTGCCTGATGACCACAAAATTTACATCTATTTTAAGTTAAACCAATGCCCTCGTAGGGTTGAATGTAGTCGACAATTTTATCATTCCCTAAAGTTAAATTTGTTTGAAGCGATTGTAGGAGAATAAAATTACTTCGACATCATCCATGCGTCGTTTTGACAGGACGCATAAAGGCGCTTTCTAATAATTATACGTTATTGGATACGGAACATAATAGACTCTGCTCGAGGGTATACTGGTCATATTTCAATTTTAATTTCAACACCGAGATCCAACGGGCTTGGTGCAATGATCGAACCCCCTGAATTGATTTCCACAGGAAGTATACGAGGGAGGGCTACCCCAAATATCTTTTCCTAATCCCCGTCTCCTCCCAATTTATCCAAACTTTAATAGAGAGATCGCACATAACGGTTTTTTTCAGTGCTACACTGTATTACCGAATATCAACTGCAAGGGATCTATTTCTCCCCGCTACTCCGTGATTTTTTCTTTACTTACTGTTTTCATTTCTAAGGTGTTTAGCATTACATGGAAAGACCGGTTCATACTTCAGGCGAATGTGAAAGCGAAGTGCATTTCACGTCTCGAAAAATTTGCAGCGACATCTTGCCCAAGTTTAAATGTGTTCATTTTTGAATTGGCAATCTGACGTCACAATTCGCGTTCGTGGTTGCGTTTACGCGAGGTATAAACCGGCCTTTTATGACGTGGTCTTTGGTCTTTTGGCATGGAGCTTGGTCTTTCTCTGTTCTCTTCCTGTTTTTCTTACCAAGAGGTCATGCAGAATCGGTTTAGAGATGAATTTTCCTGCTAATAAGGATGTAAACACAAAATGTCCATCTGATTTACTGGGAATTCACTGTAACGAATTTTTCATGCAGTCGACATGTAAACATGCACACATGAATGTAATTTGCAGTATAGTAGTAAAAGTTCACGCAGTGTCTTGATTTCATGGTATTTAATCGTCTTCACGTCTAAAACAGTATACACATACATGTACATGTAGGCCTATAATTTGAGTCTTCCGGACAGTAAGAAATGATGCGACCGACAATCGACACTGCCCTCAACGTCAGGTCGATAAATTCACAATTAATGACAAAATTATCGTCTGAGCAAACAGGGAAGTCGTATCCTCTCCTCCCTGAGCAAAACCACCCCTCATCGGTTTAAAAGAGCCATGTTGGTCGGGAGTGTTCATTTTGATGGTAGCGATGCGACTGCAACGCTTACGTTTCATAGTCGTTCGTGAACTAGCGATGCGTAGTTAATACCAAAGGAGCCCTCGTTGCTTGGAAAGTTGCGCCCTGTCTTGGTCCAGCTCGGAGCCATTATGACATATTCCGTAGTGTTTGAGTAAAGCGTTCGGCAGACCTCAAAACGAAAGGCTGGTTATTTTGGGATTTATATCAAAAATCTAATCTTTACACTCTTATTACCAACAAGGCAAAAGGTGCCAATTCCTCTAATGGTACAGTCTCTTTCCTTTCATACTTCAGAATATCCAAACAGAATAGCATGTTTATTTGATCAAAAACAGTGAGCCAGTGAGTTTTGAGTAAATGTTCCGTCTATTTTGTGGTCCCTTTGCAACCCTTCCAAAGCTCTTCCTGTCCCCAGAACTATATATTATCTTCAGGCACTTGGGCCTCGTGGTATACGGGACACAAACGCACTACGTTATTCTGTGTTACACTCGCAATCGTGTGGTAACTAATAATATTATTGAAAAAGAACCCGATTTCTTTGAAATCAAAATTTATTCACAAACAAAAATAATAACCAACACGCAATACGAACCAGTCCTGGACATAGAATCCAGTAATGTGTTGATCAATAAGATTTGCTTAACTATCACGTACCACTCGGGTTATACATATGCATCATGTATTTACATATGAACAGTTAAAACTCACAGTTGACTTGTTACAAATAACTGGTTGTCACGTTAAGCAGAAACTCCTCACAAAATTCATGCTGAAATTGAAGGGACCCCGAAAAAGTCACAACGTTCAATACTGGTATTGGGCCATGAGGCCAAATTCACAAAATAAAGGAGAACGTATAGAAAAAAAGTAAAGAGAGAGTGTCCTTCCGCGGACATTCTTATTCTCAGTATAAGGTGTTCCGGGTTGTTAAAACATACAGCGATCCATATCAGTAACGATTCGAATTATGTCAGTGAACAGCGGTAACACAAATGATGCCCCTGATGGACACTCTTTTCAAAGTTTACGTTGTTTGGCATTCTAAGCTCTTTTGTCGAACTAGATCTTTTGGGTTACTTCTTTTGAAGGGTTTTCCGTCAGGATTTAATGTTGACCTCTGAACTTTTAGTCCCCAAGTCATTTCCTGGTATGACAAAATGACCCATGCCCACCTTGAGACAAGTAGTATTTAAGCAGACTCAATCCAGGGTCGGATTAATGTCCCAGATAGGCCCTGTGGCGTGAGTGCTCCAAAGGCCCCACTCCGCCCCAGTGTCGGTCACCACTGGTGCCGTGCATTTTGCGTTAATTGGTGGAATAGGCTGAAGTAAACTATGAGCAAGCAAGTTTGAAGCTTTACCAGAACCGAGAATCCGATTTTACAACCTCACACCTACGGGCACTTTCGTAGGCCCTTAAACCTTCATTGGGAACCTCATTTTTGTGGGACCTTGGCGCAGTTCCAGCTGTGCCTGTTGGATAAATCCGGCCCTGGGTCAATCTCAAGGACAACAGCTTAACTCCAGTGTGGGTCAGGTTCAAATTATTTGTTCTTATACATCTACTGAATCTTCAGCACAATGGTTAGACGGTTCAACGGTCTTATGGCACAACAATCATACCAAAAGAAAAACATCCACTTCTCCGATGCAAAAGGTCGACATCAAGCAAATTCTTTCACATTTCATTGGTTTATCAAATTTGAAGGATAAGTACTGTAAGTAGCTATATCTTTATACACCTATGAAGAAATATGTACACATCTATGTGTTATAATACACTCCAGAATTATTCCAGTACTTTCTCATTCCAAACCCTATATACATATATTTTATTTCCAAGACATTACGAGCTTTTTATGGTCCGCAACTTCTTCTTGCTCGATGGCCTGATACACTTTGACGTTTTAATTTATACACATCGGCAGTTTTCACTGAGCCCTGTGTTCAGTATACTGTCTTCCTGGTGGAGCGGTGGAACGGGTTGCTGTTATTCGACACAGCTGTAACGTGACGACAAGGTGAGATTATGCATGGATCAGTATGGGATCGGAGTTCACGAGTGAGGGACGAATCCTTGTTGCTGCGATCGCCTGCCACAAAATAGGGCACATCAGAGTCGCTACGACGTGCAAACTGCAAAACGTAAGTTAAAACAGACAAAACCCCCTTGAAAATGTATTTCACTGAGATCATCATTAACAATTCATATACATTGTACATGTAGGCACCCCTGTACCGTACATGTACATGTATCAACGACGGGCACTCCAACTATGAAGACTTCCCACGTTATTGGCACCTAGCGGGATGTTTGACATTTAACCCACTGAGGAATTCGTCTCTGTCTTAACTACGGTTGCGTTGTTCATGCAGATTGTAGTACGGTGTCACGTTGCTCGATGTAGCAGGCATTATTTGGTTTTTAAGTCACGAACGACTATCACGAGGGTGTACATGAGCAAGACAGCGAGCACACATACATATTCCCACAATTCATCTCAACTCGTCTGTGAGCGTTCCACTGATCTCAGTCAGAGCTTCAGCGCCACTGTCCGCTGAGAGCTGCACTGTGGTTGGCCACGAGTTCTCCTTGAGGATCCCTGGTAACAAACACCACGCTGCTTTGCATATCGAGGTTCATTTACACGGGCCAAGACGACACCTGGTACCTCGACTCCAAAGAATGTGTCCGTGCCGCTGCAGCACAGGAGACACACCAGCTGCCTTTGCGCACCTATTTCGGCAGTCACCTCTGAAGCGGTGTAATATCATCTGTGCAGACTAACCAACTATTCATGCTGACCCGTTGAATGCCGACGGCGGGCTCAACTGAAACGGTCCATGTCACAAATAGTTGCCTACGTTTGACCAAATGAGGGCGCCAACAATGCTTCTGGTTGCTTAAAAAAATTAAACGCGTGCTATCTTAAATCAACACGTAAACTCATTTTTAGGACCCGAGCTCGATTACGTCATGGACTAGAATCTTACCATATCATGGTAAGCGCGGGCGCATGGACATCGGATTATAACACGGAAAGCAAAGCTGTTTCAACGTGGGAGAGTACCGTAACTCTTACTGATATACACAGTGGCTACAACCGCGCGAAAAAGTGGTTAACTTTCTTGACACTGCAAACGAAGTTCACCACTATTTTTGAGGGAAACTCCAGTTCCCATGGACCCAAATTATAGCGCCCTCATTTGGTGATACTGCATGGAATGCTATAGCTCGTCAACACGGGCGATCCTGCGTGGCTGACAACATGACGAGTTGAATGACGACCTGACCCGCAGCTTCAAAGGCGGCCACGTTCGGCACAGGTTGCTCGCAATGGCTTGACTGTCGCTTGAGGTACGCAGCAAAGGAGCGCCGTCACGTGGTGCGATGATGGTCGTGCGATCCTCTTCATTTCAAAAGCTCCAACAATTCTCAACAGACCTGTGGGGGTGGGGAAGAGTCAATGTAAGCTTAAAGAAGAAAAGTAATTTGTACTTAGTTAGAATAGGTATCGTTTGCTGCACCGTGTCGGCCGTGTATTTGGAGAGCAAACGCAAGGTTCAGTCTTGCCCTAAGCAGTCAATGACCAAACCCTGTCTGGTTTGAGAATTTGTCAAATATTGTGAACAGATCAAATGTGAAAAAAAAATTAAACTTTAAACTGTAAATCGAGCAATACGGGCTAAAGTTTGAATCGAAACTTGAAATCTTAAGTCTAATGATTCTTAAGCAAGTTGTGATCATGCGCACTTCGTTTAAGGTGGGTCTTCACTCATAATGTGATGCCAAATCCGCATGGTAGCCGTCGGTGCCCATACCTGTACGGAACTCTATCACAGGGCAGCTATCTTGCTTTTCTACCATTCAGAGCAATGTAACCAAGCTGAGGCCGTATCCGAAACGGCCTTCCAGAGCTACTGCTAGGTCTAATTTCTGCACGTCTCCACGCATTTCCAATGGAGTGAAGACCTAGAACTAGCTCTAGACAAAAGATTCGGATGCAGCCTGAAGCTGGAAGGAAATATAGTCGGTTCCCATCTATCAATATGTGAAGTTGTATTACTATTGCCAAATGGGTCACAGGGAAGAAGACAAACATGACAGCATCACGATAAAGGTCTACACCGCCCAAGCCTTTACCTACGGACGCATCTTAGCGGTCAGGGGGAATGATGCAGTCACATTTACACATGCACTTCATTCCCGCCGCGTCGAGTTCACGTTCCACGGCCCGTGCCAATCATTACAAATTAATACAAGTTGATCAGAAAAATATAGAGTGGATTTACATATTCATTTCAGGCATGACTGGTTACTTTTCCTGTGAAGTATGTATCACGTGGCCTCCTGGCGCCGTGGGGGATTCCATTTTCACGCGGTCCATATTTTATTTAATTGCCAATTAAGGCTCCGTATCAGAAATGAAATTGCTTTTAGGCCTAGTGTCACAACGCAATCCTTTGCGGATCACCGAAACGTCAAAAATGGAATGACAAAGAACCCTGGCCGGAGTGTGTGAAAAAAAGATGTGACAACCACGCATTTCGAATAATTGGTTTATTATTTGAGGTCCCGCGCTTCTTTTGTCTTATTTTGCAATCAAATAATTTCTGGTATGCGATGCTTTTTTCAAATGGTGTATTCGACTACACCGATTATGTTGATGCGTCACACTGCGCCTTTCGGTCAAGACATTATAGGGACAAAAGAATTTCGAGGCACTTCGCAAAGCAACTTCGATAAAAGGTGAAATAATATTGCTTTTAACGGCAGGTGCTCTCCCGGGCGCCATTAATAGGTCCATTATTAATCCCGGAGACATTGGTAAGTTTAAGTGGATGGGAGAGTTAATGCAACCCCAGTCAAATTGAAGTAGTGGCCGCGGATCGGGAGAGAGCGGGCCGCTCGCCGTACAGTCAGGAGAGAGTCATCTCTCGCGTCTGCAACTCAATTCTGACCGATCTCTAAGTGCTTTTAATTTTATGTTTTCACTGCATGTATACCCAGCGCCGACAGCCACTAACCACTCACTGGCGCCGGGAAAGATGTGTCATCATGCGCATGTTCAATAACGCCTTCCCGCACCTAGATAAAAAAGGGGGGAGAACGCAACCGGGACAAGAAGACCTGGGCAGATTTATAAAAAAAACCTCCTGACAAATGATAATGATATTGCAAATAGGGGCTGTGCGCATTTCGATAGCCATGACCGGCTAGTCATGATGATGAACGGATGGATAGGTTGACAGCGTCTCCTCACTAGCACAACTCTCTACTCAATTACCGGCCGCATCCAATATTGATGCAATAGATGTAGGCTGGCACACAGGGGACCCCAGGCGTAATTTGCTTGGACGAGTCATTATTCGCTTGCCATTAGCGCTGGGCCAAGGGCGCTTGGGGATCAGGCCCGGCCAGGGATGGCTCCAAGCCTCAAACACCACCCAACACCGCTACAAGACAAGCGCTGCATAGACAAACATCTCCTCGCGAAGACGTCGACATTTCGGGGCTTATACTATTTGATTATATCTCAGGCCTAACTCATTTACAGCGACAGAAAGTTCCAACATGGCGGCCGTCAATGGGTATTGTTGGTACAATAGCGTGTTGCAAATAATATAATGTGGCCACCAGTTCCAATATACTTTGATCACAGACCTTTCTATTGAGGAGGGAATGTGTGCAATATTATAACTATAACTATTCATTCCAACTTGACACTGCTTAATAGATCTTCATCAAGTTCAAAGGAGTATAAAAACTACATGCCAACGTTGTTTAAGAGCTCGAGAATAAGTGACCAGCAATTGCTAGACGGTCTTGTGCGACATCAGTGCATCGTTCCCAGACAGCAATTTCATCGTCGCAATCGCGCGTAGATTTGGGTCAGTAAATCAGGGATGTGTGTTTGCTTTGCCGCCACAGCGCTGCCAATTTAATAAGATATCAGCAAAATATCACGAAGTTTTATTTGCACATAATTGACATACCCGCGTCGGCGCAGCACATCGGACACAATGACTAAAAGTAGGGCCACTGAAGATCTCGTAAGTGCAGCGGAAACGTCAGATTGATGAAGTAAAAACGAACCGTGTTCATTATGGCAAATTAAAGAGTCGATTTTGGTTACGAACGAGCGGCTAACCCTCTGAAAGTCTGTTGTATGTTGAGTTCGACATTGACATATGAGATGTATGACGACGTGTGCTATCCCTCGTATACGTTTTTTGTGACCAAACAGTCCGGTAATTATCGTGAAAACGGGCACACCTCATGCTATTCAAAACAGCGCTGTATCAAAATATCAACGCTTCAGTCGACCACAGTGGTGCAGTCTTTCGAGACTGTACTGAAGGAAATTTATGTCTAAAAGTACATTCTTTACTGTAAATTCCTTATCGCTACATTAAATCCCATTCAATATCGCGGAAATCTTTTCTATAATTGAATGCTTTGACCATGAACCGTCTTATACGGTTATCTCGAGGCAGTCAATAAGCACTGTACTCACGGTTGCGCATAATATGGCTGATTGTACACGTTTGAGATATAACTGTGCATGGAAGACGCAGACGCAGAATAAAAAAAGTTGCAATTCACGAAGAAATAGAATATATAATTTAACAGGACTGCAAGAGCATAATATGTCTCCATGGCGAGTCTGACTCCACTATCAAATTATGGCGCGGATAAATGCAATGACCGCCGACTTGCACGGCCCCACGAGGCCCGCGCTGGATGGAACAATTTGGAATTGGCCCAATTAAAGTGCGCGGCAATATCGCGTCTCCCAATTAATAAGCCAAACCGAGCTGTTATTTATCAAATCCTGGGTGAGTTGACGAGCAAGTGGGGCTTTGTATTGCGCGGGCATAGGTGGGAGGTGTAGGCCTATAGCCCTCAGTAACGAGCACAACCCAGGCCAATCTAAACAGCCTACAAGCGAACAAACAGCAAAACTATGGCATTTGAAGCATTCATTAGTATTACATATACCCCACCCCCCCTGATGAGAGCCATTACTGCAGATATCCAATAAAACCCTCATCGCCTCCAATGATTATATTGCAGTGAGATCTCAAGAAATAAATGCTCCAGCACACGGCTTACTTATGGTGACTTCAAAACGCTAGAAAAGGGGAAACGGACAAATCCACTCATGCATGTTTTTTTTGGGGGGGGGTTTCTCCGTGCCCAAAGCGCACGAGGTTGTGCATATACATGTACATGTACGTGCTCTCGCGCGTCTCGACTTTAGTTTTCCACAATTTGGGCGAGGGCGATCTCGTAGTGAATCGGAAGTGTGAACCTTACGGGCAAAGGTCAAAAGTGTTCAATCAGTTAAAATCACGGAGGGGGCAAGGAGGCGCGTAACAGTCCCTGGAACAGGTTCGAACAAATGAAAAGGAGAAAAAGGAAAAGCGACAAAACGAAACATAGAGATAACGGGGGATGAAAATCACCAACTAGCGTAAAAAAAATCAAAACTACCCCCCCTGCTAATTTTTAGCTCACGAGGGCTTTGCTCTCTGAAAATACCCTCTCGGAAAACAACTTTACACCTTTACTGAGTCGGTATCCGAGTAATTCCCACACTGTAATCTGGACTTGTTGCAAACGTATCTTGGAACTATAAATATTTTCGAATCACTGTTTTTTATTAGCTTGTTACTTGAATACCCCATGCGATGACATCATGTCAAGTACAAGACAGAACACGTAACCAGACTGCTTCAAATAGCAGCATTTATCTGCCACAACAGATAAAGATTTGGAGTCCTAACTCGATAATTCGGGGCTACATGGTAGTGATATAATTTTACACACCAGCGGTCCAAGAAGGCATGATGTATGATTGCATCTCTGGGCCGTGGTTGATTGAGTTTGCCATTTTCCCAATCCTATTGTTAGAGCGGGACCCCGCGTCCAAGGACTCGTCTGATTAAATTCTGCCACATGCATACACGCGCACACGCGCACTCACTCCAAACTCATTTCCACAGCCAATGCTGGGTCTGCCGTTATTAAAAAAGAACTTCATATGATTCTTGGAGACTGAACTGTTTGGACATTAAACCTGGTAATTGCTGCTAATGCCGAACTCTTGCGCTGTTATCGAATGTCTATCGGACAGATTCACGAGCCGGATAATTAACCATTGCCAATTTTTCCAAGCATTCCCTGATGGTTGTTTGGATTGCTTTCTGGTAAAATTAGTTACCTATATATCAAAACAAATCGAGGCAAAAACCTGAATATGAGCGTTGTGCAGTACTGGGCAGAAAAACCACGCACAAAAACAAACAAACAAACACCCCAACACCCCAACAAACAAACAAACAAACAACCCAAAAAACCCCACAAACAAACAAAACAAGATTAATCGCTGATTTACGCCATGCATTATTGAAAGGGTGGGGGTGACAAACAGAAATAAATATGCCGTGTTAGTTTCCCTGGACGAACTGCATCAATAATATGCTCCGAGATTTGCACTATGCAATTACAGGCGTGAGAAAAAACATAAAGCGATATTCCCATTCGTAGAAACGTTGCTATTATTAGCGCATGTCATGTTTCCCGGATTTTTCCTTTCATAAACAACACGCGTATCCCTTTCATCACACCCACAACATGCAGTGTCGGAACTGTCCACACAAAGTCAACGTTGACTTACAATTCACGGCAATAATTTGACTGACCCGTGCATGCCGTGCAACGATGCTGCATCGCGGAGCAACCCAGCAGGGTCATTTTTCCCCTCGCAATTTCCAGGCAAAATTACCGCCGATAGGAAACGCACACAACTACGCATGGCTAATTGCAAACTTAATACATCATCAGACGCAAACATAGCCACGAGGCGAAAACCCAGCATCAAAGAAACTGTCAATGACCTAGCCAGGGTATTGGCCATGCACAGCGATGTATAATTAACGACCTACACACTGCATGGAACTCTCGAAGTGAAGGCTCCTAACTAGTGCAAATCGGCCTTGAAACGAGTGGTGATTTCATGTGGCTTTTTGTATTTGACAGCAAACACGTCATGAATGAAAGCAGAAATGTGCAAATATGTGAGAGATTTACTCAGATTCTAGGCACATGAAGTCGAGCAATACTGCCCCCATCTGACCTCGGAATGGACTAACCCCCCCAATGCAGCATAGTACAAAATAAAACGACCATTTCAATTACGATTTTCAAGCCGGACATATACAACTCTGCCACTGAGGCCATCTACATTGTGTACCAGAAAAAATGACAAAGCATGCCTTTAAGTCTTAGTTTAAGGCAGTGAAGAACGAAAGACCATTAAAAATTCATCCAACCTCTCTACCTTTAGTATTAGGCCTATACTTGAAGTGTAAAAAACACCATCACACAACAACGTAAGCTTATAGTCAGGCTTGGGAAAAAATGTCAGTTCAATTTTCCCTCTCGAATTTGTAATTAAGAGGCCTCTCTATTCAATTGTTGCACTTTAGTGATCATAGGCCATAATATACATGTACAGTGTTGTAATTTTATACATGGGGGCCAACGTATCATTACAACACTCGAGTGCAGGGAAACAGGTGTTTCGAGAGTCGATATACATTCCGTCGAGTCTAGTGATTCTGACTTACGTCCGTAAAGCATGCACAGCGATGAAGTCTGTTGGATACGATTTCTATTGAAGTGTGTTACGTGAAAAGGGTGTATCATTATGAGAGGCAGCATTCATTGCTTTGGTTGACCATAATGAGTGATCCAAACGGGGTGCATGCCTAATGCATATGATAGGCACACAAAAGTCTGCAGCTCAACACTGCAGTGCCCCTCTTAAGACACAAAAGCCATGCGGGTCGGCATACTCTTGGCATATACTCGGGTCGGGTCCGAAACAGACTTCTGGACTTTCGACGAAGACCTAGACATGGAGCTGTGTACTCGAGATTCGGACGCGGTCTCGCTGAGAGAAAAAGAAAACCCTTCCGTTCGCAGCGGTCGTGTTTTATACTTAAACATTCTTGGGCTACGTTTTCAAGGGACCTAGCTTCTTATTTCCACCTTTCAACATATGGACTGGACACACGTTTTCTCGGGAGTTGTGAGATCCTGCAAATAAAGAATGAAACACTCCGCAATGCGCATCATGAACCTCGAGGTCTCTACGGCAGATTTGGTTTGATGCTGTCACACTGTCGTTCACCAACAAATGAAAATGAGAAATGCTTATTTAACAAAAACAGCTCATAATTTATACACTGTAACTACTTTTCAACAAATAAGGATGTAATTTATTTGAAATGCAATGATGTCTCTCGTAAACATCACTGACTTTGGATATACGACGGCCATAACACACACCTTATTACCGGGCCTGAACCCAGAAACTGCCGATGACACGCCGTGCGCTTTGAAGAATTTGCTGTGGTCGTTCTCGCATACCAGGCTGCCGTTGATGAGCGTGTAGCGGTCGCCGGGCACCAGTTGTATGTGGCACGAACTGCAGGAGAAACATTTCAGGTGGTAGACCTTGTTGTGGGTGCGCATGACCAGCTCGTTTGCCGGGATTTGCTGGGCGCAGGCCGAGCAGGCTCCACTCACACCAAATAACCTGCAAACACCAAACAGCAAAAACGAATGGAAAAAAACAATGAATGAACTGAACTGCTAAGAAAAAAGGAAACGTATTAGAGCTGTACCTTGGAGCGGCTTTTGTTTAAGAAGAGGCAATACGCCGCCATAAACCGAAACAAGTTGGAATCAGCTGTGTATGTTTTAGGTGAAATATCACCTTTAGGCCTATGTGAAAAAGGATATTATTACCGGTGCGCGTAGCCTACTCAAAACAGTTCTGGTTATCAATTTTAACATCGAATCGATGTCTCCAACTTTTTCAAACGCAGAGTAGGCCTACTCCTTTTAAAGCAAAATGCAGTAAAATATCTTAAGTGGACAATTTATTGCGGAGAGTTGAAGAAAAGATAACGGCCGACAAAGAGTAAAACCTTCTTTGCTGTAAGTCTGCATCAGTGTCCAAATTAACAAAATTCAAGTTAAAACTATGGATCCATTGTCATGCAGCTGAAGTTTTTTAAAAGACTGTTCTTATTTATATCAGTTGAACCTATACGCCAAACTGAAGGGCGTTCATTATTAATCGTTTCTCCCAAATGCATAGCCTTTCAACAGCAATCTATAAGGTAATTTATCTGAAGGTACTTTATAAGGAGTGCGCGCCTTAATTAGGCCCATTAGATTGTCACATAATTGCATTCAACGCACGATCCTGCCTCGGCTAATTACTACAACCTTCTAGTCCGCAAAAGGGGGAGGCTTCATTACAGCATGCATAACTATCGGGCAATCACAAAGCGACCGACTCAATTTTATCTGCACTTCACAATGAGGCCTGTGGGAATTGTACTTGACCCGTGGAATTATGATTTAACGATGAAAACCACCATGAAAGCTTTAAATACAAACTGGCCAAAAATATATTGCACCTCACACTGAACACGATTAAGTTTGTCGTCAAACAAAATGCACTGCATTGATACGAAGACACTGGACATAACTATGACAGTCCCGGTTGGTCGATCTCTGCAACCTCATTCTGAACCAACTTGACAACGGTGTAATTAAAGGATATTAAACCCCAACTGGGGTTTATTAGATTGTGCATGGTGACAGTGATGCATATGCCAAGCCGGGGAAGCGATTGATGACAAAACAGTAACTTTATGGAATCGGCGCGCCATGAACACGGGTATTAGGCCTACGTCTTGAAGAGCGAGACCTCGCCCGAGATGCCGCGGGTGAAGGACGTTCCTGAAGAACGGGCAATTTCTGTCTGGAAAATTGCGTCAAATCTCCGGCCTGGCAAAAAAAGGCATCGAAGAAAGGGTGAAGCCATCGCTGTCAAAAAATAAAGATGCCAGCAAATCAAAGATGTCAGGAGCACCCAGTTCAGAAAAACAAATTAGGCAGCAATGGCGCATTTTCATCAGACTCGCACTTCCAATCTTTAAACTTGCATTTCGTGACCTGAGAACAAGTCGGTTTGGATCTGGCATACTCGCTCCGGCCACGCATGTTACACAAGTGGTCCAATCGGGTTGGACTAGGAAATAAAACACCATGAAAATTCATTGTGCTTACGCCTGAAGTAGAAGATGGCTTTAAATAATCCAAATGAACGAACCAAACCCGTTAAAGGGACCTCAAGCAGTTCGCCATAATGTACAAAAAGTATGTACCGAGTGGACCGAGTACTCATCTTAGATTACCAACACTGGTGAATCTTTCTTGCAAAACCAATAATTGATTTACAAACAGGCCATAAATCCTATACGTGTATTAGTGCCACTCTCTGCCGATATGAAAGTGGAGAAACACGCCAACGCCAGTAAAGGTTGGAAAATGGGTGCAGGGCGTAATAAACGGTTCACAAAACCATGGAAACCTTGGCTGTCAATTGGGCACTGCCGGCACGCCTAACCTTGGGGTATGCCTACATATACGGTATACACATTAGACAACGCTACCAGAATCAAGCAGTTACTTGGTCGCGTTCAGTTTGCTGACCAAATCGATAATAATGGATCAATGAGTGATCGCTCTCAATTATACTCAACCTAATAAGTAAATTACGCTGACCATGAGAGCAAGGCCTTCAAAATGAGTCAATATGTTATTGTCAGAGTGAAACAAAGGACTTAATGAACGTTTAGTTTTGCTTTCTGCTTACAAGTCCTGTGGATACCAGTAAGACGACGGGAACTGAAATGCATTCTCAAGGTAATTAAAAAACACAAAAAAGTCAAAAGACAGAACAGAAAAAAAAGAATCACACGATTCCGCAGAACTGTAGTTGAAAGCAAACCACGAAATCCAGTTTAAAACATCTTCGGATTTCATGGTTAAAGTTTGTCTCTTTTTCTCAAACTTGTTATTTGGTCTTAGGCTCACACTGTCCCGTAACAAAGTGTAACATTTTTGCTGATGAAGTTTCGTGACCCTTGACCGCATAAAACGTCTAGAGCCGGTGCCACTTGGGATGTCTTTCGGTACGGTAAGTCATTCGTTGTGATGCAAATCAGATGTGAACAAAACTCGCCCAAATTTGACCAAAAAATTGTTGCGTTAAAAACGAGCAGCTGGTAGAATGTGTGATTTGGGACGCCGTTGCGGATGCTTTTCGCGCAATTTGTTGTCTCAACGTTGCTGGCGACGATGCAGGATTACACGAGCAGGTGTACGCAGAGAATGCAGACAGGTGGCCTTTCGTCTGTAAATACTTCGAGACCGAACAACACATACAAAGCACCGGAAACTCTTCAAGCCGAATTAGCCCAGGGGGATTAGGCGATTGCTGAGAAGGAACTCCACACGGAGCTACCACTGCCTTAAAATAAATAAATAAATTATTAAGAAAAAGAGAGAAAGAAAGAAAAAGAACAGTTTAATGCCACATGTTCACTGCCTTTTTTTATATAGGCCTACTGGCTTTTGTTTAATTCAGCGTATTCGGGCCATTGAAATGATTTTTTTTGGTCTTTTGGGAGGTCATTTGTCTATCTCGTTTGTTTCTTTCTGAGTTCTACGTGTATTGGCTTTGTTCATCTTCACAACTGCCTTAAAGTGTGCGGAAATAACTCATAAACAACAGTTTGTTTATCCGTTTTAGATACTGTTTTCGCAGAGTGTTTTCGGTTGTATTCTTTGATTTATTTACGTGTTTAAATTATCCACGTATTGTATATAATTTTATGTTTTACCAGTCTGGATGTGTGGAGACCACAGTGATTGACAATGCTTTCAATTTCCCTCTACCTATCTGTTCATTGATGAAAAAGAATCTTGAAGAACAAGTGCAAATTTAAGCTGTAAAACTTAGGCCGTTACTTTAAAAACTGAGGGGTCAAAACAATAATGACCCAGAATCTGGATCCAAATTTGCTTCATCCTTTCTATTCTAGCGGCTCATTTAAATTCCTCTTTTTGACTCGGACAAGGGTTGAAAGAACCCGGATTCAGATTCCGAGTCAACCCGACTCGGCGGTTTTTTACAATAAGAGAGGTATAAGAACATCTGGGGCGACGGATCGACGGCGCTCACGGGCGGTCTATAAAAAGGGCACGCGTATTAAGTCAGGCTGGGCCGAAATAATTGATCATTGGCCTGTTAACATCATCACGCCATGACTGTCATCATCAAGACGAGCCATCAAGGCAAGTCGTTTAAAGTGAAGACATCACCGTCATCCCCTGCAACACAGAAACACAGCAGCCCCTTGTCTCGACTGATCATGCAGCGCGTTTTACTGTCATTTTGACAGAACTGCCTCTGAATGCAATCCAGGTCGTCAAATCAACTGATGTCGTTTTCACATCGATGGACAGAAGATGCACACTCTGCCAAATCGGTCTTCTGTACTTCATTTTGAGGTCTGTTACTAAAAAAAGGGTGTTTTAATTTGGATTTAATTCTTACATGACAATGTTATGTTTTCATAGAGTATGTTTTCTCGGGTTTTACTGGGCAGAAGCAAGGTTGCGGTGTACATGTACATGGCGATAAACGATGCATATTTTCGGCGGCGTGCGCATATGATAATGAGAAGTGCTACTGGTGTCTCAAGGGGGGGGGGTTGAAAGAAGAAGCACTCCCCAAAACGTGATGCGGGGGCAACTGGAAAAAAGTGTCAATTTGTTTAAAGTGACATTGTTAAAAGAGAAAAATGGGGTAGCCAAGCTAACTGAAAACACGGAGACTGTGTGAGCTTTTGTAGCGACAACTTCTTAATCAGACGCATGGGGAGGGGCGCAGTTTAGTTGCACAGTTTGGTACTTTGGCTTCAAACAAGTCAATTAAAGTAAGCAAGATTAAAGGAAGCGAGGGCAAGGTGTCTACTTTAACCCCAAAAGTCCCCCATCCTCCAATTTTACTAGATTTTTTTTTACACATACCCTGGGGGTTAACGCTGTAAAATCTCAGTCTCAACGTGTTCCTATACATCCCTGAATCGCGCTGAACTGGTGCTGAACAACGCACCGAGCCCAACATGCGATGCATAAAGATATGCACAAACCCTCGCGCTTGCAAAACGAATTATTGTAGCCCATTGATCCTGCACAGAGTACATACAGCGGTATTTATCCGTCGTGACTGGACATACTGCAGCATGGTTATAATATTTAAAAAAATCTCCACACGGAGTGATTCGTTTCACTGCGCCCTTTATGAGGAGGCTAATGGAGTTTTCGACTGCTGCACGCGCAATGCTCATTCACTCTCCATCTCACACATGCGCCTGTTGGACGCACATCGCACCCGTGCGGGGTACTTTTTTTAACCGGGGACTTTTTTTAACCGCGGTGGCAACATGGCATTGGTACCCGCAACTTCAGCAAAGAGGTTTAAAGTAATGAAATTTAAAGAAGAGGGACTAATGTTAGCCGAAGATGGGCCCAAGGAATGCGAACAATACAGGCAATCGGGTTGTACACTTTCGTTTCTAGAAGACCCATTTACCCCTTTTTCGGTTTGAGAAGCGTAAACCCAGTCTACATGATTCTTTCATTCCTGGTATAGAAATCCGAGTCAAACCCCTGCTGAAAGATAAAAGGAAAAAGAACTTTGAAATGACACAACTTGTGCAATGTTACCACAATGCCTTTATTTTAATTTGACTTAATTTGGATTCACTACAAGGTGTTTTTATTATTGTCTTCGCTGTACAACACGGTCGCTGGGAAAGGTTTGATGGATTTAACACACGTATCACTTGCCGTATGAATCTTCCGCCTTAAGTTAACTAAGCCCCAGGTATCACTCTTGGAGACAGGGGAAAAAACCGAGGAAACACTGACCTCAGCAAAACAGACCACGACCCACAATGTAACGAAAGTACCTGCTAAAAGAAAACATAAAAATTAGATCGCCCGAATCGATTTTATCTTTCGAATCCACCAATATAATGATGCCGTATAGTGGTCCCAACATCTCTGCAGCAGCATTTTCTATCTGATGATGCGATGAAGATGCCGTCCTCCATCACTCACGACGGCAAGCTGGCCCGGGGGGCTGCATCATTCCCATTAAGGCAATCCACCTTAGTCACCACACTACACTTCGGCTCTGACACTATAAGCTTATTGTGACTCGGCCATCGTCAATTATTAAACTGGATTCCCCGTACGTCACCGTTAATAATAACGCCAAGCCTCTCCGCTAATGCATTTTTAGAAATTAGCTTGGCTCATATCAAATATGGAGGCGCTGAAGTTAAGGTTAAGAGGGCTTCTCGTATTATGAGACGTGCATAAGCCCTTCCGCAGACGACCTTATCAGAAAGCCTGGTTCGACCTGTTCACGTTGTGGTAGCTATGAGAGTCGGGTAAATCGCATACATATACTGCTTTCAAATTCAAGTCTGATTTCCATTTCAGTGCCCCCCCCCAAACGGGTCACAATGCCGTCCCCTTTTTGTAGTTTCCCTCTTAGGTGGGCAATACGCCTCGACGGCAACCCTTTTAAAAAGAGTCGATTCAGTGTTTTAGTCCCCAAGGGTGGTGGGACTGGGTCGCTTCAGACGTCCCTCTTTTCCCCGGCCTCATTCAACCAGACAGTGGACTCGAATGAAAAGAGTAATTGCAGGCGCATGGATAACGCGGAGAGTGGTTGTGGATGATGGACAAGAGAACTAACTCGGGATATCTCTGGCACTCCGTTTCAATCAGGTTCCGCCCCATTACTTCCCATTGCTAGCCGGGCGCTATATTGGTAAAAGCTTCGAGGGTGAGCCTCATTTTAAAAATAATGTCAACCGTCAGTTTTTTTTGTAGACGTTTTAATTTGTGTGAAAGAGAAAAGAGAAAATGGGAACTTCTGTGTATTATTCTGTGCACATGCGAACGCGACAAAATTGCGGTGTGGGTACAGACTAATGGAAGATAAACATCAAGTGCAAGGTGAAAGCTACTTGTAAGAACACGTGTGCTGGGCTAATGCGATCTTGCTCCCGTGGGAGAGGGGGCAGGCAGTCTTAGACAGCAAGCTGGGAGTGCTGTCCGCAAATCGATGCAAGCAAAATAATGGACGTGATGGGAAAACGACGCGGCCCACTGGCCAAGAAAGTCCTTTGATGGACTTTGGATCCAACCGCGTCTTCCTCAAAGCACTATACATGTATATACGCTACATGCAGGCACGGATGGACGCTCCTAACTTCCCCGAGAGATTTGATTTGGAAATTTATGGGGCCCTCAACGATAGTGCACCTTATTTTAACGCAGCTCTGATGCCTATATATTTGCAGAGCCAACTCAAATCTGCCAGCTTGGAAACATGTTAATATTATAGTGCTACCTTGAGAAAAATACAACGCCGGGAATTTCCTCCGGAAACACGTACATTCGCCGTCACCCAATACCTACTCCTAACCAACATCGACCGTTGAATGAAAGATGGCTTAATTGCACACACATATGAGTACATATACGCACAAATGAGCGACATAAAAATTCCATAGGGATGAACACAAAAGTCATTAGTCGGAGACAGAACGGGTTATTGACCATCGCCAAAGCCAGGTCAATTGGCACTATGAACATCTAACAAGAGAAGCTCGGTACAATAACAGTGGACGCTCATTGTTAGCGCACTGTGTTTCTTTTGTGAGATATTCGTAGTGTGGAAAACTATTGGTGATCTTCAAAGTTTCTTGTATAAAATGATTCTCAGTTGTTGTTTTTTTTTCAAAGTTGTGAGGGAATGGTGTTCGACAATTAGTGTGTTTTAACTGTACGCGGGCACACATCCCTGCCACCCTTAAATGTGACCCTACGAATGAATATACTTTTTTTTTAATACTATACTCGTGGTGTGATGAGTGGCATTAAGCCGTACCCAAGGCTTGGGGTTCAGAGTATCGATCGTCCAATGCACTTTCAAATCCCCCTTACCACAGCAACCCAAACAGCGTCCGACAACCAGACAGCTCCATCCAACCGCTACAAATCCTGTGCAGGTTATGGACTAATAAAGCTTTTTTTTTGTTGTGTGTCCCCATCCTTCAAAACCGTCGCCGTCCTTAGAGAGGCGTGACAAAAGACGGTAAAAGGGGCGAACTACCGTTAAGAGGTGCTGTGAGTGTGGAGAGGTCGAAATAATGCGGCCTGAAAGCCTCAGCCCCGGATAATTGCACATTTCGGTGCCTATTCAGACAGCGGGTATCATCTTCCTGCAGGGGCCCGTCTTCTTTATCTCTTTAACACTATTGTCACCTTACGTCTTTCCGGTTGAATGGAAACCTAAATCCCTTTATATTGTCGTCCTGGCTTACACTAAGCTCTTACTGAGTTACTGTGCTAGGCACACACACCTTTCAGGCTACTTTGAGAAGTCTATCAACATGTCAAGGAGCCACATTATACATCACTCTGAAAAGTTTCACGTATTTTCATCTTCGAGATATCGTTTCTGTTTGATGGCAATGGTATTCAGGTTCAACTCTCTCAGCACTTTCGACGGCCAGATTTTACAAGAGCCACCAGGGCCTCAGCTTACACAGCTTCAAGATAACCGGACTGTCACTATGGGCACAGGGTTTGAAGGACGCACACTTTCCACTACCCCGTACTTGTCAGTACAAATAGTTTTTCACAAACTGACACAAAGGGTTTGCAAACCGATAATTTTCTGCGAGAAAAGAAAAGCGTTTTCATGCGTTTCCTTTTCGATGAAAAAAAAAAGTACGGACAAATACGGCCGTTTCACAGAAATGCGTCACCAAGAGTTTGCAACGTGTTGACCAGTCACAATGCGCGGATTTGTCGACCCAAAGGGTCGACCCAAATTTCGCGCGTTATGAATGGTATAAATGGTTTGCACAAAATCAAATCAATTAGTCCCCTTTGTCGCATGTCAACGTGCAGGTACCGTACGTTATGTGAGGAAGAAGCTGTCAAAACAAGGAACAAGACAATGGTTAATGCAACGTCTACGCGGTATGGGCTACTATCAAAAGTGAGAAACGAAAGTCTTGGTTTTCTGCAACACACGGTGATAGGTATGAACTCTTGACAACCAAGGGTTCAACTGACGTAACGATAACAAGTCCCACCACATTCACTGGCCTGCGCTCGAGGAAGTGATGGTCGAACTGCAGCCTTGGAAGGAGCTCACTCATGATTGTTGGGGAAACCAAAAATCATGAGTGAGCTCCTTCCAAGAAGGAGTTCAACTTGAGTTCAACCTCGACCCCATGGGCTGCGTGCGCATTCCTTCACTAACCCCTGGTCGTGGAGAATATGAAACTGACGCTGACTTATCCGAATTTAAATCTCCCAATAGTAGAATATTTAAATCTCACAATAAAAGGGATTAAGATATTGTTAGGTGTATGGTGGGAAGCAACATGGGAACGAGGTTGACTGAGTCGCCATGGTTAAGAAACCCACCCGCATACGCTTTCTACATGTGCTACTGCATGGACGAAGGCAAAGCTTCTTGACGAAAATTAAAAGGTCTCATTTATTGAGGTGTGCCCAGAAGAGCCCAGATCTCAGCCCTCAACAGCTTGCAAACAAACTGAAATTTAATCATTGAAAAGGGCCTGTATTCGTTCAGTTTTATCTTTATTTCTTACACTGTCCTCCTGTTTGCATTTTGATGATTCGTCATAGTGTTGACATTTTCGGAGAGAAAAAACGCACTCTCTATTCGAATATCGAAACTCATTCACCTGATGTAGTCTTTCTTGCAGAGGATCATGCCGCCCTTGGAGAAGCAAGAGGGACCCACTTCTCCCAGCTGCACACTGCAACAGGAGCACTTCAGGCAGCCCGTGTGCCAGAACCTGTCCACGGCGTGCAGCAGGAACCGGTCCACGATCTTACAGCCGCAGCCGGCACAGCACCTGACCACGTTGTTGTTGTTGTTACTGTTGCCTGCAGACCGGCTCTCTTTGCTGATCTCGCTTTGAACTGCAAGAGAATCCATTCGCATCACCGCCAGTCAATAAATGGCTACATTATAAAAATATCCCAAGTTTTTTTTTCTCCTGAGACGTGGGAGACATAGCATGCCTTATTAACTTTTAACGAATTTGTTTATAACAGTCCTGGATCCTCCAATTTTAATGTAACTCGCATATCCTGGGGGTAGCGGCAAGGAAAACACAGTGTTCTTGATAATGACTGACTATATATGGCGCACCCCTGTAATCAGGGGCCGTACAGCACCGCACCATTTTCCCCCCTCTCCACACGCCCTTGATTACACGCCGCCAGTTGTACACACACACGGCGAGTGTAGTTTACCCCCCATGCAATATTATTTCCACATCAGATAGTTGATTAATGGCCGTACTATCTGTAACTAAATTATTTTTGTACAAGCCCGGGTATAGCGTTCCCTTACGCCGTGAACATCTGGTGCTTAACGCTTTATTAGGTCTGGGCAGCCCCAGACAAATTTGATAAAAATGGGCAATTCATCATTTGGCCGAGTCAAGGCATGGTGCGGGCTGGTCGTGTGTCGCGTGCCATCCACGCAAATCGCTAAGTGCATGCACGAAGCGCATTCCAGTCGCAACGCCACCAGAAGTATGATCCGTACATGTTCAGTGCAACACAACCTCGTGGCTCGAATGCTTCAATCTATATTTAGGAACTTCAAAAAAGCGCGCAAAATGCAAGACAGCGCCTTTAACGTTCTTTCCAATGCAGTATCTCAATTTGGAATTTCTCCAGCAACGAACGAGTTGAAAGGTCCGCGTAATGTGTAAATATTGTCCTTACCAAACGTCCCTAGCATACTGTGCAACCCTTTTCAATGTCTGAACTTTGCACTCAAATGATTCCCGATCTCAAGAGAGCATTTCAATGTTATTAACGGATACAAAGGTCACGTGTGATGCATCTCAACTTGAAATTAAGTGGTTGGTTGACAGAAGAAATTATTACAAGCGCGTGCGGTGGGGTGCAGGTGTGTGGCTTGCGGAAGGATATAATCTTTTGAAATTAAACGTAATGTTTTGCTTTCTAATGCACGTATTAAAATAACTGGGTGACGATATCACATTTACCTGTCGAACTGTTTTCACAGTATTTTTTCTTGGTAATGGTGAGAAACTATTATTACACGCATGTCATGAAATTAAAACCTTCTGTAATAATTATTTTGAGTTCTTTTCACTCCTTATAAGGGATGCAGCAAGGCTAATGCAGTTATACTATAATAAATATTAATAATTTATAGTTTCATTACCACACATAGTGTGCCATGGATGTCTGTTGTAATGCACCAATGTCTTCATGAAGCGAACGGACGAAACCTAATTGTGGGCCCTCACGACGAACACATAAAAATATTGATTCTTGGTGGGATTTATATCCTGAATACAACCCCCCCCCCCAAAAAAAACAACAACTACAAGCAGGGTTGTAAATATCACATAAATTGCACAACAGTGGGAGCTATTATTAATTGTTATTTCCCTTCAGTAGATTGGTAAAAATACTCAATAATCTATACTGTTCGAAAATCGAAAACTGTCCGAAAAACCGAAAATAGTTGTGATTTCCATGATCTTTCCTTTAACCACACGTGTTCATGTTGTACCGGTAGGCAGAACCAAAACAGTTCAATGTGGCTGGCACATTGTGTAATCTGGTGAATATTGCAGAAAAATCCAGGAGGAACACCATCCCCTCAAAATAAAGGTTAGTGAATATCGACAACACGACGTATCATAAACACCATCAGGTTTGTTTGTCTATCGGATAGATGGATGAGACTGAAATTCACGTGTACTTTCATTTTGTTATCGCATTTTTTTTCGAGGGAGGAGAGTGAAATGCATGTGCCCATTTACATATGTTGCCGATCGGTTTGCTGCAAATATCAAACAGGCCGATTATTTGACCTCGTCTGACACGCTCAGAGGTATCATTCATCACCATTCATCATACTTTCCTACGTAAACTGCTTTGAATGAGCTAGGGTAGACTGTATTATGCTATTCTACTTACCCACATCGCAGCCAGCTACCGGGTCCATGGTTTGCGTCATGGCTACTGTCGTACTATATCCTGAACACTCCACGTACTTGAACACTCCTCCCCTCCGATTCCTAAATGGTTGACATAAATTCGGTTGGCTTTGGTTGACCTCACCAAGTTTTGGCTTAATTATTTTTGTCCGCGTGAAATTAAAGAAGTTTGTATCGGTCTTTCTCTCTGGTAATGTGTACAGCATATGCGTGGGTTTTGGGATATGTGTTTTCGTTTTGTTTTGTCGCCAACAAGTCAAAGTCTAATTATATCTTCTCGGCATATCACAGTAATCAGGCACCTGTATATCGTAATCCAAGTGTACATGTACATGCAGTGAAAGCGTCTTGGCTGCTGCCCCAACCGAGCACTAACGCCAGTCGTAGGCCAACAGCATCCTTGCTCTGCTATATGGTCCGACCAGCTCACTGTTCGGTCGGCGATCGCAATGTCCCCCTGATTTCCTTGGGGTGCACGGGCTTGTTCGAAGCACACGGGTCATGCAGGGACCGGCAACGGAGTCTAGTACTTGCACTCAGATCTTGTCCTCGCGTGATCAGGCAATATTTGAGAAGTTGAACTTGCAGCTGAAATGATACTGCAGTACAGTGCAGGGACGTCTGGTCAGAGAGCGGCGAGACATCAGTCGGTCGGTGTACTCGGGTGTACTTGCGATGTGCGGTCACTCCATTGTACGTGTCGGCTGTGAAAGGCTTCTACCTGTCGGTGGGAAAAGAGCAGCCTGGTTCACATGTAGTTCTCGACATCAATTATTAGGCTTTCAGCGCGAAATAACGACACAAACACGGGCTGCATGTACTGTACAGTTCACCACTCCGGTGAAGGTGCTATACAGTTACGCCGTGTGTGCGGCTCGTTCCTCGGCATGGTACATGTACGTGCACCCTGTTCAAGAGGCTGGGCCTCCGCTGCACTCACGACGTGACGACTGAATGACCGGAGGAGCGCCGGTCGAAAACAAAACGCAGTGTGCTGGGGTGGACGGCTGAGGCGGTTAATGATTACATGGCAGTGGCGGGAAACGGGGGCAGCCGAAGCCGGTTTGTGTGTACACACATCCAGTCTGCGCGACGCTGAGTAATGAACTTGCCATTCAGAGCAAATCACATGTGGTTTAAGCAGGCAACAAAAGGGGGGCTTTCAGCGAGAAATAAATGGCCGCATTTAATATGTCATGTGTTATTATAGTTTTTTTCCCCACTCATTCGTATGAAATGGACGCGTCCATTCAGCGCTGAGGGTAGAGCTTTTTACAGGGGTGGGTGGCGTCTCTCTCCCTGCTTGATAAGCTCATTTTGATGAACGGCTTGCTTGCTCGTTAACGAGGTAAACATGTTTATGGTGCGGGGAAATACATTCAGTGAAATGTTGGAATGGATATTAATTAATGGCTACAAGGATTCGTTAAGCCCCATTGAAAACAGACACAGCACAGGGTTTGGGGGTTTGTTGAATGGCACGACCAACAATAATTAATGAGTCTAGATGCCGTCACACCAAGCCTTCACCACTCAAAATAATCAATTACACTACGTCTCTCCTCAGTAATCACTCTCCTCTTTTTTTGCTTCTGCCATTTACGAACCCAATTATTCGTTCGATTCTAATATCTTCGACCATTTAATGCCGGATGGGGGAACAGCTGCGCGCAACGGCATTCTTCCATCAATAAGGAAATGAAGGTACGTGATGGCTGTGACGAGTTTGGTCGTGCTGGACTGGCTGAGCACTAATGCAATTTCGCTGCTTTAGATTGAAAGCTCCTCTTGCCATAATGCCTCCTCTTGATAAAGTGAAGGCCCAAAACAAGCAGGAGATTGCACCGAGGCTTCCGGCATTTCATCCGTTCATTTCCACCCTCAATATCAATCACGCAAAGTGGATCTGCTTCCCCCTACTAGCCTCTCCCAACACGTGACGTCACTTTGATTTAGCTTATTATTATTATAGTGTATCCAGCCACGAGTTGATGGTTCTCGTTTAACCTTCATGATGATAAATCCCTCAACAAATCATTACCCTGATCACATAAGGACATACGAATTTAGATGTATCTATTTGGCCACATTATGAGCAGGTCTGACTATTTAATGAAAATCATGAGTTGTAGGTGAACTTACTTCATGAAACTAACTGAAAAAAACTGATGTGAAATAACATTTCTAGGGAGTGGTTCAAATGGTTACAATGCAGAAAACTTCACCTCATTCACATTGATATTGCACGGTGCCTAGAGGGCAACGTTGTGTTATCATGTCTGACAAAAATTACGGAGTGTTTTTTGGGTGCATTCTCCATATATAACCAGCAATTAAGACTCCTTGTTTTCGTCAAGAAGCGTGTCCAAGACCTCGAGGAAGAAATCAGCAAAGCGGTTGCGGGACCGGGCAGTTCATGAAGGGCTGTATAGGGCGCAGCCTCGCTGTGGAGGAGCAGCGAAGTTACACAAACCACGCCAAGACGTGGCGGGGCGACAGGGCATCAGACTGGTCGCAAAGGGAACTAACTTAGATCACCTGTTCTTACATCTCCAAATACCAACAAGGGTTGATAGCCATATTGAAAGGTGATTGGCGAGAAGTGAAGTTGAGGCCTTCCCATCAGGGATGGCAGGGCTGGGGATCGTGCAAGACGTTTGCGAGACAAGGACCGGTGAGGGAAGGGCAGAACCAGGCGGAGCGAGGCAGAGCAAGACCGAACAGTGCCAAACAAGACGGAGCATGGTAAAACAAGGCAAACCACGGAAGGCGAGGTAAGCCATAAAGAGGTCGAGCTCGACCACCAAAGGGAAAACATTACGAAGCATTGTAAAACACGGCAAAACCATGGAAGGCGAGGTAAGCCATAAAGAGGTCGAGCTCGACCACCAAAGGCAAAACATGACGAAGCATGGCAAAACACATCAAACTATAGGCAAAGCGAGGCAACACAACGCAAAGTCAAACTAAAAAGGAACTACATGGAGCAGGACCAATCAAGATGAGGCATGGCAAATCCAGCAAAGCGAGGCAAACCAAAGTCAATAACGCCGAAGTTCGGTACTGCAAAACCAATCAAGGCAAAACAAGACGAAGCAAGCAAAACACAGCAAAGGCGGCAAAGGGAGGCCAAGAGACAATGCATAGCAAACCAAGGCAAATTAAACACTGCTGTGGCCAAGGCAAAAACATGGCAAAGCACGGCAAACCCAGGCCAAGGGAGGCAAGCAAATACAGAAAGACTGTAAAGGAAGGCAAAACCAGACAATGAATAGCAAAATATACACTACAGGGAAAAGCAAGGAAAGTTTAAACGATTGATGACAGGCCAAGGCGCTAGGTAGAAAAAAAAGAACCAAGGCAACATGAGGTAAGGGAAATCCAGTCAAAGCGAGGCAAAAAAAGTCAAACATAAGGCAAATTAATCGAACCAATACAAAAACGTATGACAATACAGCGCAGAAGAAGGCAAAGCACAGCAACGGGTAAAGTTAGACCAAGTACCCCAATAATGTTCCATTTTTATTACAGATTCGGACCTTTTTGCGTCATCTTCTCTCCACAAGTAATAACGAAACTTCTTCCCTGACAAAGGAAGACTATGCGAGCCGATGTAAGGCATCCTCAGCACGGCGCAAGGTACTCAAAGCTCCGAAACCTTTTCAAGTTTCATCTCCGTGTGGGGCATGGAACTTTCCATCCTCCAGTTTTACGACAGAATGCTATGAGTTAATTGACACTTTAGAAATAAGCTGGCTATAAATTTGTAAGTTAACGCCGGATGACGAAGTTAACTTCGCGTCGTTGTATGTCTTGTGCATGTAGGGAGGGTACCATGGAGCCTGTGGAGAGACCCTCGGTCTTAACATCTCATCCCATCAAGACAATCCGCTCCGTCAGCATTGGCTGATTGCCTCAACCAGCTCACTCCCAGGTCTCCGTCCACATTAAAAATTTGCTGGAAATTGACGAGTATTTGTCAGCGTGGCGTACAAGTGGAAAGCGATAATTGGAGAGCAAGAGATCTTGATGACATGTTAATGCACTTAGGCGGACAGCGTATCGCCACTGGGCGCTGTCCCCCTATTTCAGACGAGTGACAGGCATTCTCGACATTCAATAGTTTTCAGGAACACCACCAGCGCCAGCCTACGCAATCGCTCCCTACACAGAACAAAGACTTTCAGTAGATCTAATTTTTAAATGAGGGGAATTTCAAGATATCCTTTACAGAATTGCAGGATTATAGATTCTAATCATTCAATGGTGAGTGTGACGTGGTACCAGAAAAACACGTGACAGCGTTATCAGATGAAAGTAAAGTGAAAGGGGCGTTGCCTTTAAAGTTTCTGTCAGGATATGGCAATCACGCCAAATAGGTTTGTACTGATAGTGACTCAGGACAGAATAACGATGAAAAGGCTGACAGATAGTACCGTACGACTCTGGTGGTTTTTCTTTTACATGCAAAAATACTGTGCTTAATGTCAAATCGGATTTGATTTCATCTGGGAGTCACTGGGCTTCATATTTAACTACTTTACAAACTTTCTTTTTCCGGGTAGAATTATAAAGGGAAGTGCACATCCTGAACATGATTACCCTCAACTTCTCAAGAACCTGCTCTTTGTGGAATTACGGGCAGTTTCTTCTTTGTTTTCATCTTGCAATGATTGGTAAACTTCAACAAAAGTAGTATGGAGGTAAACTGTAGTTTTTCGATCAGATCATTAATTTCAATGACACGCTAAAATACTGAAAACTGTCCAATTGATAAACAATCCCGTTATGAATGTGTTCAAGGTTTCCTAATCCTGTAATAAGTTGCCATAATTCTCATTGAGGGATCTATTTGATCAGTTGGATTGTTATCCCTTATTCCCCGATGGACACATTTTTGTCTCTAGTTTCTCCAAAGAAGGACTCTCCCCCTTTTACCAAAAAAGATATAAGAAGGCATTGCACTCAGTAACGTCTATAAACCACACCATTCCAGCAGACTGCATAAGCTAGGATTTCGCATGGTAAGACAGGGCAGTAACTGGAATATTCTCCATATGAAACAGTCAATAAAGGAGATATTGAGCCGAGGGCTTTTCTCCCCCTATTCATTCTATTCAAGCCATCGTGTATACATATACATGAGGCGAACGTGCGCCTGCACTTTTCAAAGAAGTGCAGTCCAGTCAACCCGGCTTCAAAATAAAAAGCTTTCGCCTGTCAGCTCGGGCCGGGATTCCCTTGCCCCCCTGTCTATCTGGGTTTTATGTCCAATTTGCTTGTTTCGTTATCCCCCCGTCCCCTCGGGCGGCAGAGCTCGGCAATCCAGGCGGCTCAGCGCCGGTCGATCGTGAGAGCCACTCGTATTGTGTTCGCTCATGGTGGCTGATTCAGGACCCTGCCCGAGCACGCAGTGAACTGCACGCGCGGAGGAGTTCTAAGTCAATTTTAGTTCCTTTTTCACCTATGTCGTCGTAATGGGACGACCCCGAACAGAAATCAACCTAACAAAACTAACTCTCAACAAATCCTAACCCCCTAAATGGTAGCCAACTTTCCATTGATGTAGTCGAGTACTTTTCGAGTATGTCTACTAACTTCAATGCCAAAGATTGAACCAGTCAGGAGGGAGCAAAGCTCAAGAACATGGACATTTTGATGGTATATGCACACCGGTAAAATTACAAAATAAATCAAAGCCTTCAGACTCTCCCAGTTTTGTGAAATTACTTTTTAAGGAGGTAAGTACTCGTGGTTTAGAAAGAAATTCAAAATGCTCACACCCCGAAGTTGTCTCTCCAGCCGAATGTTCGGCTCGGGATCCGCCCTTGAATTACATTACAGATCTCCTCTATAAATACCATGTCTGATATTCCAAAAATGTCTTGTAATTACAATTCCCCCATCATAAAAAATCCAAGACATTGTGGAGAGGATATAGCACAGAACATGTGGGAGGCCACACTCTTATTTCGCAGGCGAGTTTTAAGATGTCTGCGTATCCGCGAGGGTCACGCTACAAGCATGCCCCACGATATATCCTAGTGCTTAAATAATCCAGAAAACGCACGTGCATTTACATCATCCAAACTGCAAAGGGGCCCCTGAAAATACCAATGCCCGTTTTTCCCCCACAACAAAAGAATAAAGCCAAAATCTGGTAGGGTCACTCTACCGGTTCTTGATCTTTTCCCGCCTCGCTGGTTGCCAATGCCCTCTAGATCCTATCACGTTGTCAACTACATCATGAATGTTTTCGTATGGACAGCCACAGTCTGCAGAAACCTCATCCTGGCATTTTGTCAAGCGTAGTTTTTGTTTGCCCTTTGCTTTAAAATCGTATTTGTAATGCAATTTGTAATGTACTTTGGCGTTTTGATAGCTCAGTGATGTTTTAAGAGTTAATAGTGAAATATTCTTTTGCTTTTGTTCTCACGGCCAAACCGTAGTTTGTTTTACTAGCCCCTGCAGGCAAAAATGTGACTGTGACGTATAGAGAGCAGACCCTGTTTGACAAAGTCTTGCCCCATCTTCCAACCAAACTTTTTATCGGGATTCAGGGAGTACCCAAGAAATTTAAGAACTCCTATTGGTGGCATTTAGTGCTTACGCCGTCACACAAACACTTCAAAACTGAGATTTCAAATGAGAATATGTGAAAATGACCGTTTTCTTTCATAAAATACCAGCATTTCTTCGTACATAGTTTTGACATACGGGTTTTGTTTGTTGGTCATAATAAGGTTTGTTTAAAAGAAAAAAAAACCAAAACAAAAAACAAAAAAACACGAAAGCCCATGTGTTTTCCTCCAGATTTAACGAAATGTCTCTTGTTAACGAAATATCACAATACAAGCACTTAAAAGCGGTTGGTAGGTGAGAAAGATGTAGCCCCAAATTCAAGATGGAATATGTGTCCTCACTGCAAAACCTCCAGTGTTAATTTAACACCCTAGGTGTTATCAGAGGACTACACCAAGTGTTGAATTAACACTAATTTAACATCACAGATTTGAAGTGCGGGAGGAATTAACATCTTGGGCGTTTAATTCGGTACGGCGATCAGTGTTGGTGTCCTTTTGTATAACTGCATATTATTTAAAGAGGTTCTGGGGTGCACGAAACACAGAGGGTGAGTACAAATACATGCATGACATGGACCTCCTAAGTTTATCCCTAGAAAAATCGGTACATGGGTAGAGCCTTCGAGTATCAGATTTCAACTGAACAGGCGAACATAATGAAGGGAGATAAAGAATTCAAATGGAGCCATACCCAGTCGACTGCGTGCACCAAAACTGCATGTTGTTACGACGGTGCGCTGACGGTTTTGCGCTTAAATTATAATGAAAACAAATAAACGCGGCACGGGAATGGGGCTTTCAACATCGAGTGCAAAGTAAATAGGCCCCATACGCTGTGAGACTGAGGCTGCGAAATTCTGATTCCTAGACGATGTGGCTGTGCATTCCAGTTAGATTATATGGCGAGTGGAGAGGGTCTAATTTATCATATGGCTACTCGTGGAAAGTGGTGCTTGGCTTTGTGTGTTATACAATGGGCGTGTGTGGGGGGATGGCGTATCAAGTCCTTTAACCCTGACCCATTGAAAGGGGGGGGGAATCCCGCCCTTCCGCGTCAATCCACGCCCACATATTGCAATAACAAATAGCCCAAATGGCCATTTATTATTATCATGATGTTAAACCGAGATCTGCACACTGAATAATTATGCACACAAGTTATCACAGAGGCAACTTGTGTACACAAATATTCGACCAGGAATAACAGCCTTGTAAGAAAGGTGCTTAAATATTCTCAGCCGATGATTGGTTAAATAAAACAGCAATTTAGCAAACTGTAGATACATCTCATTACAGGCTATCGTGCACTGTAGTATTATACGTCCATGGCTACTTGGGAAGGTGACTACTATTTGTATAGGTGCATGATTGATGAGATAGCAAAGCCCAATTACCTGCTTCATCCACAGCGATTCAAGAGAACCTCCATTATCCCGGCCAATTCCGAAATCACACAAGTGTAATTAAAAGCACTGCAGCCCAAACAGGTCGGCTATATTATTGGCCCAGGCTTAGCAGCTGTCCTCGCAGGAAATTAAAGCGCGTCTAAAGCGCCCGGACCCAAGCAGTCAATATCCACGCGCAATATTGGCCAAGCTTCCCCGGATAAAATCATTTAATTACTCCACATTTTTACGGTGAGGACCCCCAACTTGATTAGAGTGGAATTGAACCCCATGCGGGCTTTGATTGTGACGCACGGCCTTATCTAGTTTGCTGGTGTAAGGGGATTTCTTTGCGATTAGTTTTTTAAGTCCGGGCGATATGCTACGTTCTTTACACAAACATTTGCACACAAGCAGCATATGACGTCTGGGGTATTTTCCCTTTTGCCCGTGCGATCATAAAACAATCACAAAACAATGGTGAAGTCTGAAATATTTTGAACTCCATCAACGATTCCTGTTACATCAAATTGGTAATAGTCCGATAACACTGTAAGGTTATTGACATATAAGCTGCAGCATCCATTCGCTTAAAACGCTTCAAGTAGCACCACACACAACAAATAAAATGACCTTTTTAAGAGTCAGTTGTCACTTTGTTTCGTTTCCTTCCGATAGCAATTAACCCTTGGCTAAATATAACTCCCGAAACAAAACTGATACAGAATTAATTAGCACCGCACATGAAGAATTTCAGAACTTTCCGCGTTTCGGTGAATCTGCCCTTTTATCCTCTCAACAACCTTCATTCACAAATCTATTTCCTTTTGAAGGGTAATGCAAAACATGCCAAATTTGTTTCGAGCTTTTGGTCATAGATCAGTCTTCATTGTCTTGTTGTATGGGTAGGTCTAGAACTTTGAAATCATAGTCTTGTTTACAAAGAGCGTCAACAAATAATGAGCGTTTTAAAGTAAGTGCATCAATAAGAGTAGAGCATGAGGTTGCAGACGAAATGTTCCATTTTGTTAGGCGATGAATTATTCTTTCCACTGCATAAATATGGAAATATTCGTTACTCGTTTTATAGAACGCTTGAACTTATCATGAAAAATCCGTGACTAACCTGAATAAATTCCAGCCTCAATAAATCCCTGCATCTACTACGGGTGAAAAAATTTCTGTGATCGTGGAACAGAACTAGGCCTATTTTTCTCAGTGGCTGCGCCGTGCGCTGGGACAAAATGGCATGTGATCGACGGTCCATCAATCATACAGGCGTCGTGCTTCGTATTTCATACCATATATCAAACTCAGCGGTGTATTTATGTATAGGCCCAAAATTATTTGTTCAAATCGGTTTGACATAGCGAATGTTCATCCGTTTCCTTTCGAGACCACGCTGAAGTCATTGTTTTCAAGGTTAAAAACTACTTCCTTTAATAACTCCACGATTGACCATAATGAAATTAAGGTTGATTTCATTTTGTTAATATAACAATGAAACCTCTGTAATATTGATTGGGAAGAATCACAGTAATTCAGACAAGCAAGGACCCAACAGATTCTTGTGTTGTTAGTTTCCCGGTAGTCGTGTCTAATAGACATGCTACTCCCCCAGTCCGGAGTAATTATGAAGATAATTTTTCAGATGGACTATGATTAAATTCTTTGAAGTGCATCCTCCGTAAGATGAAACGTGTCTGGCGTGGCATTTTCGATTGTGAGTAAAAGTATCGTATCCAAGAAGAGCACATACGAGACACAAACAAACTTTTGAGCTGTTTTTTGTTATTATTAACTGTCTCTGAGATCATGGGGGGGACGCAGAATTATTGTTCTTGCTGTTAACGCAGGTGCCCATCAATATTCGATTGTTATTTAATAGAAAAAAAAATTGTCGCTGGTTGAAGGACCTGACTACCGAGCAGCGCCAGTGTTCGCTGTGTTTACCGAGTTCATTATACGTACTTCATTACCCGAGGCGGTTATTGCAGCGGTTAATTCAGTGAGAGAGTTAATGGGGCCCAATAATACACCGCGGATTCTATATGACAATAATAACTTTAGGTACTGTAAATGACAAGAAGTTTTACACATAATGCAATAGG